TTTATATCTTAGGATCTGTGCAATCAATTTGTAAGTACTATTCCATCTAATGTTGATATCGCTGGCAAAACTTATTTCTTTTTTACCCTTATACTTACAGAACATCTTCCAGGATCTCGAAATAAGACGAGCCCCCCAAATTTTTTTAATTCCTTCTTTAATATTTGTCAAAACTCCACCCATAGCTTGTAGTCCCTGTTGAACACATAAATTTAAAACATGACAGGCACACCGTTGATGCAGAAATCTACCCATAGTCGTAGACGGTGGGCAAATTTCTCTAAGTCTAGGAATAGCAGCAGTATTATTAGTAGCATTATCAAAACCAAATGAAAAAACTTTTTCAGATAAGTTATATTCCCGCAGAATACTCTGAAGCAATAGGAAAATATTTTCAGCAGTATGCTGATCATTGAAATCACGAAATGCAAGAACACGTTTATGCATAATCCAATCACTATCTATCCAATGACAAGTAACACCCATATAAGACAAATTATGATAAGTTTAACCCCAAATATCAGAACAAATAGCAACACGAGAATTAAAATTGAGAAAAAAATTTGCCAAATTAATTTTTTCCATTTTATACTAGCGAATAATTTCTCGTTTAACTGTTTTTCTTGAAAAACCTCGTGCTTGAGGGTTTAATGCCTGTTGACAATAATCAATAAAACCAAGTTTTTCAGAAAACATGTATGACAAATTTTCTTCACAAATCATTTCGGCCATTTCATAACGAATTTTTAGTAAATCTTAATTCTAATTTCTGTTTAAATTAATTAAAAATCAAAATGAAAATGTTAAAATAAGATATTTTAAAGGAATCCTTTTATGGTCAAGATTACACTCGAATTGAAGGCCTCGATGGAATGAGTTCAACGACATGTCCCACGTACAAATCCAAGTTACGAAGGTTGAAGGTTTGATCGTCCGAGACTGAGAGGATTATAAAGAAAACGAATAAAATCAAATATGACGTAAATTTAATAATTTTCTAATGAAATTTGGGTTTTTGGATAGGTCTCGTAAAATGGTAACCAACGACATATAGTTTGTTAAATGGGGAAGGTTCCCATGACATTGGAAACCAATGTCATGGGATGACACGGAGGCGCTCCGGTGCCCGTTCATAAAATTGACGGTTCTTACTCCCCCTACCCCCGTAAACCCCCACTCCGCTCCGACCCGAACACCCCCCCCCCACCCCATTCAATTGCACCCCACAAGTCGATTTTGACTTTAGAGTCAATTTTACGAATGGGCACCGGAGTGTCCTCGGGTCATCCATGACATTGGTTCCTAATGTCATGGGAACCAAGGAGTTGTTAAATTTAGATATACGTATTAAGAATGATGAGTAAAATAAACATTACAGTTTAATAAATAAATATAAAGATTTTATAATATTAAATAATACTCCGTAATAACATTATAACTAAAGCTAATCCCTACGCCTATTCCTACGAAAAGCCCAAACTCCTTCACCCAATTAAAATTGGGGAATGTTCCCATGACATTGAAAACCAATGTCATTGGATGATTCGGGGGCGCTCCGGTGTCCCGTTCGTAAAATTGACGATTCCTACCCCCTAACTCTCTCGGTAAACCCCCCACCCCGATCCGAACACACCCCCACCTCTTTCAATTGCACCCCACAAGTCGATTTTGACTTTGGAGTCAAATTTTGACTCCAAAGTCAAAATCAAGAAGTTGGGTGGAGTTGGGGGTTTAGCGGAAGAGCACCAGAGCGGCCGTCCCTGTTCTCAGTATATACTAGCCGCACCATCTTCTTGGTCGGTCCACTGCGCGACAAAACTACCGGAGAAGGAAGCCCAAGCCCGCGAACGACTTCGCCGGAGTATTCGCCAGAGTTCTAAACCAATTTCCTTCGCCAATCAATTAAGGTGAGTGATTTATCTAAGATTGATTCATAGATTATGATTCGTTAATATGTTTTCAATCAATTGACGTTGGATTTGCAATTTCGAATGTTGAATGTGTCGAATTGAATTAGTATAATATGTTGAATCGAATTAAAGTTCGGAATTGGGATTTGTTCTGTACTGCACTCTGTTCCTTCCCTGTTCTGTTCTTCTCTACCTCCTCTCTCGTTCTTCTCTGGCCTGAACTACTCTGAACGTTGTGGAGCTACTGTACTTGGTCCGCTGCCACGCTTGCCATTGCCGGAAAGAATTGACGGTGTGAATGAAGATAGGGAACAGTGTCTCCAACAGGACTTAGGCTTCGTTTTAAATTGAGAATATGGTCAGGAGTTCTCCAACTTGAACAGACTTAGTTTTAAGGAACTGACTGCATTGTTTCTAATTTGGCCTCTTGGGTTCTTTTTATACTTGATCGTAATCCATCTAAATCTACTAAATTGAAGAATTCGTGCTAATTATACAATTATGCGAAATTTTGAATAGGTCACCTGGTATATCTAGGCGGATTTTAATTTTTAGCTGAATTGGATATTAGAAATCAGCAATAAGGTTAAGATTAGAAAATTGACCCCTGGCAAGAGAACAATTATAAATTGTATGTTTGTTTCACTTTAATTACATGTTTTCTTTTTACTTAATTTGAGTTTATGCTTATTATTTTTGTGCGGACTAAATGTGCCCCCAGTGAAAAAAATCCTAGATCCGCCACTGATTAGATGCATGCCATTTGTAAGTTTAAAATTTGGACTTTGATATGTCATTCGTGTCTAAAGTATATGCGCACATTATAAGTTGTATTTTTGAAAAAGTAAACCTATAAAACATGAATGTATCTCTATACATATTTCAAACGTATGAAATTCATTATTAGCCGTATTTTTAAAATGTTATCCATATTATTTTATTCGTACCGGAATAAGCTAACATACTTTGGACTACTTTGCTAAGTGTATTTGAGGTCATGGGAGAACTGGTGAAAGGGACGGTGACGCCACTTTCCTCACTTTTTCCGGCAGATGAAGCTCGCAAAGCGGTGCAGCGTGTGCAAGACACCATCGCGGAGCGGCAAAAAATGATGGACCAACTAAACGACTTTGTTGCTGACAACAAAAGCCTAATCGATCTTGTTCAGCGCCTTCCTGACAAACTCCATCATGATGTCATGGAAAGTTGATTTATTCTATCTATTTTTCCTATAAACTTCGAATATACTATGAATGTGTGAAACAAGTTTTATTTGTTTGTTTTTGGTATTTTAGGTTCCATTTGGGAAGGCTGCATTTTTTCCTGGTAGATTGATTCATACCAATGAGTTTATGGTAATCATGTTATAGTTTTCAAATTTTTATGGTGAGCACACGTAGATCAAGATTATATGGATTCTTTCGAGTTCCAATCACTGTAGGTTCTCCTAGGAGAGAGTTATTATGCAGACAGATCATCCAAACAAACTACTGAGGTTTTGACCAGGAGGGGTAAGGCTTTGGAGTCCCAAGTTCAAAGTCTAAAGGCTGAAATGCAGGACCTTGAGGCTGAAGTTGCTTTTTTTGATACTACCGCTTCTGAGTCTGTGGTAAGCCTGTTGCTCATCTATGGTGCGCAAACACATTGATTTAATGCTGTTGTGGTTGAATGATTGGATTTAACAACAATTGTTCTCTTGCAATGATATGAGCGAATAATCACTCCCAAGTTTCATATAAACAGTATTTCAGCATTTCACTATTTTTTGTGGGGAAGTAGATTAAGAAATATACGGCTTATGGTATCATGATATGCTTGTGGTTTCATATTTTGCAAATAAGAGCCAATAGACTGATGGTGGGAGGCTAGTATATTTTTCACCAGGAAGTTTATTAAGAAACATACGGGTTATGTATCATGATATGCTTTTGATTACATATTCTGCAAATAAAGAGCTAATAGACTGTAGGGGGGAGGGGGGGGATTCTCTTTAGTGGAATGGCTATGCACGCACCATTTTATGAGACATTTATTGTCTTTTTTATTTCGTAATGCATCATTTTCAAAAACTATTGTGGATTGGAAGAAATAAAGAGTAGATTCTAATGTCATGTTCTCTTCACCTAATATGAATCTGATTGGAATAAGATCTGGTCTGATCTGTCTTATTATAGTTATATTTTAAGTTGTTTTGTTTCTGATCTAATCTCTGACTCCAATCAGAAAAAGTAATAAGTAATAAGAATAAGTTGAAAAAACATGGCCTAAGTCCTACAAGCAATCTTGATCCTCATCGTTGTCAACATTTTACATATGCTTGATAGCACTTTTTGTCTTGCTGCTAATATGTTATACTTGCTCTTTCAACTTGCTAGTGAACATTGTATATAGCTTTCCCTCTAAGAAATTCTAGAATTTTTCAACAGGAGGGTCTTGTGGAGATCAGAGAAGAGATTGTTGAGGAAACTTCTTATGAAAAGTCTGCATCAGGCAAGTATCCTCTTGATTTGAAATGCTATAATGAAATTCTTATTATTTTTCAAATGATTTAGTAGAGCTTCACTAGATCTTATTTCAGTTATTTGTGTTATCTGTTAACAACTAATTGCATCCTTAACTAATCAGAAAGATGAGTGTAGGATTGCTAGTATAGTAATAATTTTTGCTTGTATTTTGAAATTTTTACTATTTTTGCTCATATTTTAAAAAGTATAGCATCTTATTCTAGAAGCTATATTCAAATATGAATAGTCTATATTGCTGTCCTGAACTTTTATAATTTGAGTCTGAGTCTAGTTTGCCTTTGTGTGAATGTAGCTGCTCATTTCGCTATGAATAATAATTTCAACAACGCTAGTTCCATTCTTCAAGATAGAAGCAAGATCCCAGTTACAAACTTCAAACTCTTAAAGTGATGTAGCTATAAACAAGAAACTTTCATAAAAATTATTCAAAACTTAAAGTTCAAGTAAACTTAAATTATATTGTTGTAGCAACTTGTGCCACTTTTCACAAAACTGAAAGTTCAAGTAAAAAGGTACATGCCATTACGGGAAAATGTAATATTTTGATAGGTGAGTTTTAATTTTAGATATGTGGAATTGAAGCAGGCGCATAGATCATAGATTCATATATGGCCTTTTGGGTAGGGAAGGTGTGTCGGGGCCAGTAATCTGTGGATATAGACTGAGATCTTCTACATTGATAATGGGTTAATGATTAGTAGAGGGATAGATTGTGGCTGAGGCTTGTTTGATGTAAGGCGGGAAGAATGTTGCAAGTTTGATGTGGTATGATGCTCTCCTAGTCTCTTGTGGAAGGGCTGACAAATGACAACGATAGACGGACTTATGGCAACTAAGATCCTGATTGGTAGTAGAAATAGAAGAAAAAATGTATTTAGTCCCTTCATTCCCATTCTTCCCAAATATAATAATGACTTTCATTCCCAATATCCCTCTTCCTTCAACCAAACAACCTCATAGGGTCAAGATGCTACTGAGAATTCTCAATGTCAAATTTAAAAATCTTAAGGATTTTACTTTCATCTAGTTGATTGTTGTATGTTTAATTGGGTAGCTTTTATCCATATCTTTACAAATAAACAAGGGTGCATTTGCAAATCCTGAGATTGAAAATTTTGCTTTAGCTGTGATTTATATTTAATTTCCTTTGATGTTTTCAGGGGGATCTGGTAGTTCTTCCATGGCAGAAAATGATACCCAAAAAAATGATGACGAAGAATATGCTCGCGTATTAGCCCGGATTGCTGAACTTGAGAAAGAAGAAGAAGAAGAAGCTGAAAAAGCCAGCGAAAATAATGAAGATGAACGTGAACGCGTCTTAGATAGAAGTATTGTGCACCCTACCATGGATCAACAAATTGGAAGTTCAGAGGTAATTTATACAGTAGGCTATTTTGACTGAATGACTATAGAGGTATAACTAAGGTTTTCACTACTAAGGGACACTATAGCAACGGATTTCAATGGGTCAGCTTGGAAGATTTTATACTTGTTCATGCGGCCGACCTAGGTTAATTCAGGATTAACGCTTGGTTTTTGTTGTTGTTTTAGGTGCTTGGCTTAAGTAGCATGACAAAAGCAGTGAGATCTTCAAGAACAGAAATAAATGAAGCTAGAATGACAACTTCAAGAAATCATGATCAGTTGAAAGTAAGGAACACCCACTCGTATCCAATTTGTATACTTCTTTTAGGAATTTAGTTAATTAATTAATTAAGTAATTAATTAATTTTTGGGAATTCCGAACTGCAGGCCGAAGCTTCAAATGTACAAGTTCTACCTAAAGGTTAGCCATTAGAAGAAGAAAAAAACTTGAATTCCATATGTAACTGACCTTAAAACAAAGCCAGTGATTTAAATGGATTACATGGAGAATGCCTGTCATTCAGTCAGCCACCTTATCTATTAACATTTGCAATGTGTTTCAGATGAGTGCTCACATGGAGAATGCCTGACATTTTGTCAGCCACATTCAACCGAGGTCAATCCAAAGGAGAATACAGTTGTGTTGGAAAGCAAGGTATCATGCAACTATATGTCCCTTCCTACGACTTCCACTTTCCCTCAAGTTCTTTCCTATTTTTTCTTTTGAATTGATGTGATGGGAATGGGAAAAAGGGTTAGGCATGCATAGATGAGGCATTTTGAACTTTACATTTCAAACACACAATGCAGTAAAAGAGTATATACATGTTTGATTGATGGTTAAGTGAATCATTTCCAACAGGCGGTTGTAAACAAAACTCAACAACACTTTGATGGTGGCAAGGTATGGTCACTGACTCCTCGTTAGAACTTGGTGAAATTTAATATCCCCTTGGTTCCCATGACATTGGGAATAAATGTCATGGGATGACCCGGGGTCCCTACAATGTTCCGTTCGAAAAATCGATTGTTCTTACTCCCCTCTCATTCATAGTATGTGGGTAAAAATGTACAGGCATTTACTGGCTCAATCGTCGAACATTCACCTAACTTTGATATGCAACCAAGAGAGCAGATCGTTGGTCGCACCTCAAAACCAGTTTCTAGATTCAAGATGCAGAGGAAGTGACTGTGTAAGTTACATTGGGCTAACTGATATTCTCCCTCCATCCAAAATTACTTGTCCACGTTCTTGCTTTCGTTTGTCTGGAATTAGTTGTCCGCTTTTCGTATTCAATAATGTAATTATGATTATTGACAAGAATGATTGACAAATTCATTTGAAGGATTAATTTGAAATTCTAATAAATCTCTCTCCTTTGAAAATGAGATTCATTAGAAAGTGGACAAACAAAATCTTGACATATTCATATACAATTATATAATTAACCTCTAACATGTGTCAGGACTCAGGAGAATGAATCTTGAACAATCACCAGTGGTGGAACTTGATGGTTTTGACGTTCAAAATACACAAGCTGAAGACTAGCTAGTTGGATTTCTTAGCCTATACTCTGTATAAAAATATGATGTACTTTTTTTTTTGTATTGGGTTCAAGCAAATTTTGTTTCAGATTAAGCTCATCATTAGTTCATGTAATTTTTTATCATTCAGGGAAAATTTCAAATCTAATTTTCTGTGTAACATAACGGGTAAAAAATACTTTTTTAAACAAATTAGTCTCAACAAGGAGATTTATTTTCACTTGCTTTCGAAAAAATTCTTACTCATTTTCCGTTCTGGCACTATGCCTTTGTCCATCCCATGCCCCCCACTCCTCATGCCTCTCCAATAACCTCTCATTTGGGAGAGTCACCATGATGACATAATCATTATTTTTTGATTTTAATTTGACTGAATTTTGTAATAAGGTTAACCATTTAAACTTTGTTTTTGCATACTAATAACTCTATTACAATTTAGTATCTATTCATATGTTTCTAACTTATTAAAATACTTAAAGTTACTAATTTCATTTAGGATTCGAATTTCTGATCTCTCATTTGGATAGTCATCATGTTGACATTTGATCATTTAAACTTGAAAAAATATTTAGAATAATTTCAATTTTACTTGGTCTTTCTAAAATAATACGGAGTATCATATTTCATTGTGATGTATAATAATTTTAATTTTACTAAAATTTGCAAGTTTTAGATCACCGTTAAGTTGCTAATGGTTGGTTAATGGAATTTGTTTTGCGCAACAAAATGAAAATTGAAATAATTTTTTATAAATTTTTGTCTTTAAATTTTTTCAAAAAAATCCTTTTAAATTTTTAAAATGACTTTCTACCTCCATTTTTTTCTTTTTTAACGACTAGTCTTACCTTTGAAAAAAAATTAAAATACATATAGAAAACAATGAAAATGAGTAAAACAACTAAAACCATATACAAAATTAATGAAATAAAACAATATCAATAAAATATAAAAGTAAATGAAGTGATAGGTTCTAACGTTTTAGACACTATACAGAGTATTAATGTAGTTCCCACTCATAAAAGATGAAAATAAAAAAAGAAATTTAAAAAATAAATTCTTATTGAAACCCTAAATAAATAAAAAAATGTCTTATTAAAAAATAACTAAAATGAAATTACGTTGAAGTAAGAAAATATTTTTTTATTTTTTGTTTTTCTTTACACTTTTTAGGGTTTTAATAAGATATTATTTATTTATTTTATTTATATTTGTTACCAACGGGGGAAGTAATACATTAATAATCCATCCGTATAGTTCCAAAAATATTAGTAACCACCACTCCATATTTCTAGTTCTATTTCTTACAAGTTTGAGTTTATTTTTCATTAATTATCTTTTTATTTTATTAATTTCGTATGGTTTTAGTTATTTTTCTCATTTTCGTTATTTTTTATATCTATTTTTTTTATTTTTTGCTAACATAAGACTAATGTTTAAAAAAATTGATAGAGGTAGAAAGTCATTTTAAAAGTTTAAGGAAAATTTAAAAAAAAAACTAAAAATAAAGTTTCATAAAAATTAATCTAAACTTCTATTATGTTGCACAAAACAGAACATTTTCATTAAAAGTTGTTAGTATAACGGTGACACAAAACTAGTAAATTTTAGTAAATTTGGGATTATTATCTAGCACAATGAAAATTAAAATTATTTTTGAAAGACCGAGTAAAGTTGGGATTATTCTAGATAACTTTTCATTTAAACTTTGATATTTAAGGTTTGATATAGATGCTTTTAGATTATAAAACGACATTGGTACTTCAAGTATTCCAATGTTCTTACATCAATATCCTAAAATTAAAAAATGATCAATTGTGCTCATGAAAAATAGGCAACCCATGTGCAATAAAATTTTCTAGAGTAAATTCCATAAAATTGAGTAGGTGGTGTAGGTCTTCAAGCCATATTTACCATATTTACCATAAAATTGCTCCCAAAAATTGGTAAATATGGCTTGATAAAAAGGTATGTCTTAAAACGCTCCCAAAAATTGCCATATTTACCATTTCTTCACAAAAATCCATTCTCTTAATAAAAAGGAATTTGACGGATATTCGATATAGTGATTTGAAAAGCACATCCCAATTGAAGTTGGACTGGCCCAATAGCTATATGAGTCCGATTGTAGACTTGGAGGCGAGGCCCAAGAATGGGACGGATGACATCTTATCTAATACCTAAATTAAATGGGATTCCCCGAATCGTGTGATTCAGGAGAATTGTTAACTAATTCCACGCCATGATTGACTCACGATTGGCAAATGGTCAAGAATGTAGCACACAAACATGACATACCTTGTACATGGTAGAAATAGACTATATATAGGAGGTCAACCCTCCATTGTAAGATAAGCTAAAAGAAGCTAATACAAAGAGATACGAGTTCTGAAGCCATTCTTATTATTTATTTGTTCTTCACATGTCATAGTAGTAGGCTAAATCCCATCATTGGTGCTCTTATTGAGAGTTTACTGTGAGATTGATATTGTGAGAGTATGGCTGGACGAAGAATGAGGAACTCTAGGTGTAATGGTGAAAACTCCCCGTAGTCTTCTACTTCGACGAGAGTCCCCGAACAACACAACGCTACTCAGTCCATTGGCATTGAAGCGGCCCTAAATAACATTACCAACATGATGGTGAATGTTATGGACACGCTGGAGCGAGCCCTTCCCGGGCCCTCGAGGGTTCCCAAAAACCCAGTAGAACAGCAGAGGCAGATTCCCCAAATGGCAAATGGGGTAAACAACCTAATTCTCCAGGAGATACATACTCCTGAGGAGATTGAAAGGGAAAGAGAGGCCATCAGGAAACGCTTGGATGCAAAAATGACCCGAAATAACTGGAAACACCACAGTAAGCCCCAGGTGGCAGGCCGGCACCAGTGGGACTCCGGGCTACCAAACAACTGCACAATGAGGAGACTAAGAATCAGAGAGGCTCGGTGTTTGAGCGGATGTATAGGGAGTGGGTCCCAGTGTGCGAACGGTTAGAAAAAAACCTAGGGAAAGCCTTTGTAGGCTAGGAGCGATCGCAACCCAGCCAGGTTGAATCATCTCACCAGGAGCAGCGCCAGGGTGGTACAAGGAGTGTGCCCGGGAGACAACTAGAAGATGAGGCACAGAGCCAATTAAGGGTCCCAGTGGTCCTGGGCCAGGTCCGGGAATGGGGGATTTCCAGGATCTCCGAGGACAGATCCAGGAGATGCAGCGTAAGGTCAACCATGGACGTGTCTTCACGACACGCACCAATACTACCCTAGCTCTGGATACATTTGCACAACTTACCTGGTTGGGTTTAATATTTTATTCATCAAGTGATGTGACGGGGAGTCAGTTCCCCAAGAGCATGTCAAAAGTTATGTACAGACAATGGTCGCCACGGATGCCCTGATGTGCCGTTGTTTCCTCCAAGACATCGACATCAAAGTAGCAGACTGGGTAAATCATATCCCGACTGGGTCCATCCGAATTGGGACGAGCTAGGCCTGTTTTTTTTGGAACATTTTGTAAGGAACTGTCAGGCAAAGAAACACTTCACGCACCTGGCCACCATCTGCCAGAAAAGCAGCGAGTCGTTGAAGAACTTTTTGACTCGTTGGGGGAAAGAGTTCCGAGAAGTAGAGGGCGCTGATGAGAAGTCAAGACTAGAAATGTTTACCGTAGCTCTAAAAGAGGGGCTCCTCCACACAAATCTCACGCCCATCTCCCGGATACCTTCGAAAAAGCTATGGTCCGGGCTGTGAGGTACGTAACCCTAGAGGAGCGCAAAAAAGAGAAGAAAGAGAAACCCCTGAAGGAAGGGGGTGGAAAGAAGAATGGAAAGAAGCCATCCAAGGGGAAGAAATCAGGTTTCCCCAGATGGGCCGAAGGTCCAGTCTGCCGGGTCCTCAGGTGCTACCAAGTCACATTACCCAGTATTCAGCATACCTGTAATGGAGGTAATGTCGCATGCGGCCTAGAAAGGCTTGATGACCTACCCCACCTACTCACTTTTTTAGAAAGATATATTTGATAAGGTAAATCGGAAAAAATACTTTCCTAGTTTGCCTCTTGTTTTGATTCCTTTGGAGTTGCTCATACAAAATATATATATAGAGTACTCGCTCCGTCTCAATTTAAATTACATATTTACTACTTTCATGGTAGAACTTTAGCCATGTTCTTTACTCACTTTTGATACTCATTTGATAAAATAGCTCTTATCATCTCTTATTCTGAAGAACTTTTGATGTAATTTTGAAATATATAAACTCTTTTTTTTAATTTCACACAAAATTTCAAATAAATTGAGTTAAAAGTAATTCTAGCCAAACCTTGTAAACAAAATAGCGATTTAACTTAAGAAGTAGGGAGTATTATTGAATACAACTAAATCCTTTCTTTTGTTTATTGTAACTGAATTATTTCAAACAAGAATGCAGTTGTTGTGGGTGTTGTGCAGTTGGCAAAGGCAGGGAGTGTGAAGGAGGTAGATCTGAGTTTGATTCTTGGTAACTGTGCTTGGAGGTAACTATGTTTAGTGTAGGGTATTCGCAAGTACTAGGTTCAGACTTCACTCCTTGCCACTAATTTACGATCAAAATCACATTTACCTTTTCCTAGTGACCGTCCAGATGGGTCTAAGGGACCCCTTCGGGACGAGGCTGATCCTTTAAATAGGAATGAAGTCAAATTAATAAGACATACATTAAGAGCTTGTTTGGCGAACATAGGAAAATTTGCAAAAAAAAGAAGGCAGTATTGGGCTATATATTCAATCTTTTGTAATAGATTCTTGTGGTTTAATTTTCAATATATGGACATAGGGCTTCTTCTCATATGATTGATTCTGATATGATTAAAATACATTATTTCTGATATGGTTATAGTTGTATTTAACGTTGTTTTAGATTTTATAGGATCTGATCAGATATAATTCCAATAAGAATAAGAATAAGTAACAAGATAAGTTGAAGAGAACAAGCTCTTAGATGGTCAAGCCCAACTCTAATATATTCAACAATTTCTACACCTAGAAATAGAGGTGGACACGCTACGAAATTGGGCTGGTTCCAAATCCGCAACCAGCGGTTCCAGTGCTACCACCAAAACACACTACCAATGTCCTTGGTGGTCGGTGGTCATGGTGCCAGTTTTCAACACTAGTCCATCTGGTTTCGGTCTGAGAACCTCTTTATTGTTTTTTATTTATAATTTTTTTATTTGAAGAATGATATATGTCTATGTTTAACGCCCTGACAGTTCAAAAAGAGTGACGAGGTATAGAACATTAAGAAACACTTGAAGGAGCTTATAAATCGCTCACCTTAAAAACTAATTTACATATATTAAAAAATATTGTTATGTCACTCATTCAAATTATACTACCACTTTCCTTCGTGGTTGTGTCCATATAATTTTGCGAATCCATGTCGTACCCCATCTATTATCATCGATGCCTTACCAAGATCAAATCTCGGTTGCAAATTAGTGTCTCTAGTGATTCAATAATGCCCCAAAATCTGGTTTAGTAGTTGGCATGGATGAGGTTAATTTGAAACTTTATATTTTTAATTGAGAAAATTATATTATTTTTGTTGAGCTCGCTCTTTTGAACTCAACGATGCAAATGGGTCGTAATCAGTGTTATTGGGCCCGGGATACGAATAACAGACCAGATACTTATGCTTTGAACGAGTCCTAATGGGATTAGAAAGTGAATAATTCCTAAGCATATATATATATATATATATATATATATATATAAAATAATGAGATGGAAGTTTCTCTCTCTTACTTTCCGGCGACCAGAAAACCACCGGAATCCTAACTGCACCTCAACCGGAAAACTTTTTTTTCTGACCTCTTCCATGGAGACTTTAGTGGGATACCAAGCAAGGTCAATGGTTTCTACAAAGGAGCTCCATCAGTGATGTTCAGCAGAGAAGAAGCAGAAGTTCTGGCCGGAAAATTGCACAATACTCTCGTGGGCAGATGGAGCAAGAAGATCTCATTAGCAGTTGTTGAACAATTCCTAGTTAAAGGTGGCTTCAAGGAGTTCAAGCTCAGGAGGCTTCAAACACACGAGATTGTCTTTATCTTCAAGAGAGATAATGATTATCTGATCTCTGGTGGTTCCATATGAGATGGAATATCCATGGTTGCTTCATCACCATCTGTAAATGGACACCGGACCACAACCCATCCTGCGACTCAGCTATCATCCCTATATGGATGGAGGTAAACAATCTCCCTCTTCACCTAAATGACCATAAGGCACTATTTTCCATTGCTTCAACGATGGGCAGACCTCTGAAACTATACTCCAACTCAGTCATCGGAGTTCGACCAGATAAAGCACGCATTTGCATGGAGATGGATGTCTCAATTGCAAAACCTCCCCAACTTCACGTTCCTCTCAATGACTGTGACATTTCGCTCCCATGCACATTCGAAAATCATCCATCATATTCCAACCAATGCAAGCGTTTTGGCCATGCTTTAAGACAATGCCGGAAAATTTCCCTGGAACACCTCTATAGAATAGCTCCAACGGAAGAGGTGGGCCATAGTGGAGCGGGTATTCACTCTGAGGACCTGTACAGGGGTTGACAATAGTCAAGAGAAGAGGATAGGTGCATAAAGCAAAACATGATAAGAGAGGTAGGGGCCCATCAAGTCAGATCCTGCAGATGCCTTCCAATCAATAGCCTACAACCTTTTCCAAGAATGCAAAACAAAGAGAAATGGACAAAAATGTCCTAAATAATCACTGTCCCACCACCTCCCAAGCACCAAGAAGATTTTAACAAGAATAAAAAAGGACGGCCCATCACAATATTGGGAGGATTTTATGACAATCATTGAGGATATCAATAACGAGGAACAACCTCATGTATTGGATAGGCCTCACATGTCCTTTACTACAGCTCCCCATGAAAAATCTCCAAACCCTTACCAAGAGCTCAACTCTTTCCCAGATTTGACCTACCTGGAGGTTAATGACAGGCATAAATGCATGGAGATTATTCCTTACATCCCATGCAGTGAAGATGTTAATAAACATGAGACTTTCTTTCCCACAGAAGAAGTATACTATCGTCCAGGAAGCAAGGATGATGGTTTTCTCAATAGCACCATGGTTCCTCAATGGGAACCCTATTCTAATCAAACACATCAAGAGAAGGAAACAACGACATTGGTTTTCCATTCTGATGGAGGAGGGGAAGGAGACACCCCTTTCCTCAATAAAAAATTTGATTCCTTGGCTATTGACACTTCCAGGTGCTCTAAGGTCTCAATGTCTCTCCCAAAATACTATAAACGCAGAAGGGAGATTCCAAACTATGGGATCTTGACAAGAAGTAGATCAAATAAAGGAGTTTCCCCTAACCCTTTCTTATGAAGCTTTTGTTCTATCTGTGGGGTTTCCTCTTCCCTTAGCAGACTTAAGTTCCCGAAGAGGAAATATGATGCTGATTTTATGTGTGTTCTTGAGCCTATGGTCAATGCCTCTCAGCTGGACCATTATAGGCTTCAATTGGGTTTTTCTAACTGTCTCCTCTCCTCCAATACTAAGAGATGGATATTTTGGAACCAGGCCTCTCTTCATCTCAACACCTGCCTGGAAGAAGAACAAGTAACGCACTGTGAATTTACTTTGTCATCTCACAACAATCCGTTGCTGATCTCTTCAGTCTATGGGTCTCACACTGTACGGGAAAGAAGACTTCTTTGGAACCAACTTCAGACTATTTGTCCTAAGGGTATGCGCTGGATTATTGGGGGGGACTTCAATTCCATCACCTCCTTCCACGAATTTAAGGGTAGATGCATCCCTTGCTCTCAAAGTATGGATGACTTCAATGAGTGCATATCCAACTGTAATCTGATTTGCCCTGATCCAGTTAGAGGTATCTTTACATGGTCTGGTGTTAGGAGCCAAGGGAGAATCTGGAGAAGGCTTGATAGAGTATTGATTAACCTTGATGTCACGGCCTCCTTTGGTGACATTACCTTACCCCCCACCTAGCCAGGACCAATTCTGATCACAAAGCTCTTCTGCTTAATTGCTCAAATCCAAAAATAGGGGGGGTCAGGCCTTTCAAATTTTTGAACTCTTGGACACTTCATGATACTTTTCACAATTTGGTTAAGGATACATGGTCAGCCGGATTGGCCAATAAGCTACAACACACTAAAGTAGCCCTTAAGGATTGGAACCAAAAGGTCTTTGGGAACATTTTCACCAAACTCAATGATGCTGAACAACTGGCCTCCCAAGCTCAAGTGGAATATGAGAAGTTTCCAAATTACATCAATAGGGAATCAGCAAAACTTGCCAATTCCAAACTTATAAAAGCAGTTAATGGGGAAGTAGAGTCCTGGAAATAAAAAGCAAACATCAAATGGTTTGACAAAGGGAATGCAAACTCAAAGCTCTTCCAAGCCTTTGCTAAGGGCCGGGGAAGAGGAAGAAGCTTTAAATCACTCATATTCTCTCAACAAAAGGGAAGGGTCTTTCCTCCCCAGGGGAGATAAAAGAAGTTGCTCTAAGCCATTTCCAAAAACTCTACAAGGCTGATCATAATCCTATTCTTGAGCCAATTATTCCTCTCATCCCAAAAGGTTATAACCTTGGAAGACAACTCCCTTCTTACTGCTTTACCAACTTTGGAGGAAGTTAAAAGATTAGTCTGGGAGCTTGATGGTAATAGTGCAAGTGGTCCTGATGGATTTAATGGAAGCGTTTTCAAACCTTGTTATCCCTTATCTCCAAGATAGATAATCCCAAGAAATTTGATGATTTCGGGCCAATATCTCTATCAACTTTCATGAGTAAGATTAACACAAGGATATTGGCAAATAGGCTCAAATTGCTCCTGCCCAAACTCATCTCCCCTGAGCAAGCTGCTTTCCAACTAGGTAAATCCATGGATGAAAACATTCTTATGGCTGAAGAAGCTGTCCACTTACTTGATAAGAAGGTATTTGGTGGGAACCTGTTTATTAAGATAGATATGGCAAAAGCTTTTGATAGAATGGATTGGAAATATCTAGAAGCACTGCTTACTGCCTTTGGCTTCTCCGACAACTCAATATCCATCCTTATGGCCAATCTCAAAGGTACTCATTTCAACATCATCATCAATGGGGAGCCAACTGGCTTCTTCCAAATGACAAGGGGTGTCAAGCAAGGGGGCCCCCTTTCCCCTCTCCTTTTCATCTTAGGAGGGGAAGGTCTCAGCAGGGTACTTAAGCACTACATGGACAACTGCCATATTCAAAGATTCAATGCTGGGAGTGTGAAATTTGCTAGTAACCTAGTTTATGCAGATGATCTCATTATTTTTACCAAGGGAGAAACCAGGAATCTGCTCAAACTAAGGAAGGCCCTTGCAGAATATCTCCTTGCCTCTGGACAGGAAATAAAATGCTCAAAAAGCAGATTCTACACCAACAGTAAGACACCTCCAAGCATTATTCATAACATGGAAAATGCTCTAGGCATGAAGTGTGGAAAGCTCCCTTTTACCTACCTGGGGGCAGCTCAAGAAGGAACACTGTACAAGGTTGATGGATCATTTCTTCAAGCACATCAACTCCTGGTATAGCAAGACCATTAACCAAATGGGGAGGTTGATTCTTATCAAACATGTCCTCTCCTCTATCCCATTACATATTATGGTTGTCCACACCATCCCTAAATCCATCATCAATGCCCTAAACTCCTCCATGGCCAACTTCTTTTTGGGGGCAGAAGCAAGGTAAACCTAAATATCACTAGAAAAGCTAGAGCTCAATCTGCCAACCTACTGAGGTAGGGGGTTTGGGCCTCAAAAACATTGAAAGACTTCAAGAAGCTTACTCCTTAAAGCTTTGGTGGGAGATCTATAATGACCAAGGCATTTGGGCTTCTTTCATGAGAGGTAAATACTTGAAGTCAGGCACTATCAAGAAAAGGATAACAGACTCCCATGTTTGGAAGAGAATCAGCAGAATTAATGACATTGGAGAGACTCCAAAAAATCGTTTTTTACAAAGAAAATCAATTTTTATGACGCGGACAACAAAGTAAGATCTCAAGGAACATTTGCACGAGAGTAATGGGCCAAGAGACAAAATACCCTTGTTCCCCATGTTATAATGTCTTGAATTGATGTATTCAAGATCCCATGATGTATCTAAATTCAAATTTTGAATTTGAATCTAGTTGGGGTGCAAAACTGAGTCCGAAAAATATTTTGTGTGTCAAATGATGTCTTAAAATACTTGAATAAAGTGTTTCTCCTTAGCAAAAATATTTTCTAATATCAAAATAAGTATTTTGATAAATATTTGACACACTTTTTGAAACTGACTCAACAAAAGCATATTTAAACAGTTAAAAAGGATCTTTCAACTCACTCCAAAATAAGTATAATTTTTATAACTCTAATAAGACTAATTTTAGTGTGCAAAATATTTTTTTCATCTTTACAATATTTCGTAAGACTCAAATAAATTAAAAAGTCTTCAGAAATCTTCTTCTTCACTTCTGTAAGGCGCTCTGTTAGGTGACCTGATCTTCATCAAATATTGTGCTTCTTCTTGAATAATTCAAGAAATTTGGCACTTCAAGTCTTTGTGTTTGTCAATGTAGCAATTTATTCTTGACTTAAATAACTTGTGTTTGTCAATTATCAAAACATGTGAGTCAACACTTAACAATACAAAAAGGGTTGAACTCATGCCTTCCAACACTAAACAAAGACCCCATTTAGCATCAGCGTTAAAAGTTAACGTTTTGAAAAAAACCATGCGACGATAGCCTTTAGGCTAGCATTTTCACAATTAATCTACACCATTGAAATTTTATCCAAACACTAATGCTAATCTAAAATATTATTTCCAATGGGAAAAGTTATATTTTAAGTGTTTTCTCACCATCTATTTTCTTTGTTCTCTTTTGACATCATCCAAACAATCCGAAGTTCCAAACAATGTGTAAAACTATTTTCTTTTTTGCTTAAGTTTTTTCTCACCTTTTATTTTCTTTTTGAGTAAATTCCATAAAAGGTCTGTAATTATAAGTCATTTTACATATTTAGTCCCTAAATATAAAATATCAATAGTTTAGTCCCCAATTATTATATTGTTTTCCACAAATAGTTCATTGTTAATATTTCCGTTAAGAACAGGGATAAAATTGTATATTCATACTCCTCTCTCTCTCTCTTCAATTAACTTTCTTCCTTATCTCGTACTCATTCCAAAATCTATTGCTGAGTGTGATGCTCTAAACCAAAACAGAAACGATCACTACTCTATCAATCGTTCATCTTTCTAGTGGAACCCGAAATCCAAACCAATAACCTTCATGGATGAATTTTATGGGTTAGTCTCAGAAAATTGCAAAAAACAAACCTTAAAACTCATTCATGAAGATTACTGGTTTCGATTTTGGATTCCACCAGCAAGACGAACAATTGAGAGAGGAGAGATGATTCCGTTTTGGGTTCAAAGCTTCAAGCTCAGCGACGTATTTGGAAAAGTAGTACGCGGGGAGAGAGGAAGCTTAATTGTAGAGAGAGAGGAGCGTGAATTTACAATTTTATCCACGTTTTTAATAAAAATGTTAATAAAGGACCATTCGTGAAAAACGATATAATAATTGGAAACTAAATTATTGATATTTGATATGTAAGGACTAAATATGTAAAACGAACTTTAACTGGGGACCTTTTATGGAATTTACTATTTCTTTTTTTGTTACCATCAATATATGCTTAACGAGTACTCCGTATTTTGTAGGGGTGAGCAAGTACCGAACCGATCCCGATGTTTTCTGAAAAAACCAAGAATACGGAACCGATAAAGTACCGAAAAGAAACCAAACCATACCGAATCGAACGGTCGGTCCGGTATCTGGGAACGGTACGAGGTTACTTTGAAGATTGAGTTTTAGTGGTAGTAAATTTCCCTCTAAAAGAGTTCAATTTATTCCCGTGTCGTATTCACAAGGATTGGCATGTAAATAAATTTTCTATTAAAAATTAGTTAGGCAAGGTATAATGATTGGTATTGGAAGTTTTCTAATTTCGAAAATTTAGGTTGATTGAATAGAATAGTAACTTGATTGAATTGATAAAGAGGAATATGAATTGATTTCAGGTAGTAGGCAATTTTCAGATATTTTAACTAGTTGGAATACTAAAATAATTAATTAATTGTTTAGTGAGAGTTCTGTCACAACTACTCCATTAATTATATCTTATCTCTAAGTTTCATTAATGTGCTAGTATTGGTTGACTAAATTATTTTTCACATTTATAGACAAATGGATATAATAATTTTTCAATAATCCTTTAATATAAAATTTGAGAGTTGATTGCTTAAAATTATGACATGTGTCACTTAAAAAGGTTTAATTTTTTGACACATCAGCCTTCCACGCGTCAACTTGACAGACCATCCATTCGGCCATTTTCCTTCACGGAAAATTCCTAGGTTTCCTTTCTGCAATTCGGCGAAGAAGGAAGGAACACATGAACTTCCAGATTTTATACAACTATTCAGGGATTTGCGGAGATTAAAATAGAAACTTCCTTCTTCATCGCGTCGCGGATCTATCAGTGCAGTCCAAAACAGGGATCTCCAAATTAGGTATGTTTCGAATTATTGATTCTTTTTTGTATTTATGTATATGTATAATCAAACTAAATCTGGGATTTAGATTACTTTCTTTCCAAAGAAATCAAATCATACGGGTCAGTGTGTTAGCGAAATAATTTATAATTTAAGGTTCCACTAATAATTTATTTGGTTTGTTTCATTTCTATTGGGAATTTTGATTAATTGATTCCAGTTGCTTTCTCTTCCCCTGTAGCATATGATTGGTAAAAGTTGGGAACAAATTTCTGGCAGCGGGAAAAAAATTAAAAATATAATACCTCGAGGACCAGAGGATGGCAGAATCAGTGTTTTGTCAATTCTTAGCAAAAGAGAAAATCATCATCTATTCAATACTAAAGAGTTTTTATCTTTTATGTAACCTTAACAAACACAGATTGTTCAATTACTCATCTTGGGATAATATGTTCATTCCATCTGTGCTTTTATACATGGAAGAAACCATAAGTTCTTATTTGTGGAGTATACTTTTGAATCTTACTTTATTAATAACTCCGTACAAGATTTAAATGATGAGTCTGGTGCATATGCAGCCGCGGAATCACCAATAGAAGATACTACCTACTGTTAATACGTACTTATTGTTGCAAGATCTAATACGTGCATCTTTAATTGTTTGTCTTTACTGTCTTCACATCGAAATACAAGTTTGAACTCAACGATGCATCTTTAAATGTTTTAATAGTTTTATTCATTCATACTGTGTTAAATTATAGAATGAAACCAAAAGCTATGTGTTTAATCTATCGTATTTTCTATACTTTGTAGGAGATAAAGTTACATATGAACCTTTCCAAGGCTTTGAAGTCATTCTTTGTGTGGGAGAGACGCCTGAATCATGAGCTACAATGAAAATACTTGCTGCACTAACAAGTTGCAATATGTGTTACATATCTGATTCTTAAAATGCATTCAAATTTGAAAATATCATTATATAGCAGTGACTATTTGTGTACTTGGACTCAACTAAAGTCTGACTTTGTAATTTATTCCAGTTACAACACCTACTTTTTGAGCATTCTTTAAGTTTTCTTTTCATAAAAGGTATTAAATTTGTCCAACATTCTTTAAGCATACGAACCTGATTGGGCTATCAGTAGTAGAAAGGTGGCCACACCCGCTCAAGTTCAAGAGGTATCATGAAAACCGTTATTAGTTACTCCTCTCTTATCAAGATTCCAGGTTTGACATGCCATATTTTTTCATATCTAGGGTATAGTATTTTGTTTCTTGACTTCCAAATTTGGCTTTATGGTGATCCAGATCATACCTAATAAGCCCAATATTCCTACTCAGTAATAGGCTATTGGACAAAAGAAACTTAATACTACGTGATTCTCAATATCAATTTCTCTCTGATTATCATTGGTAATGATATGTAGGAACAAATTGGTGGGATCCTGTTGGATAAGTTTATGACACCATAGTCTATTATGCAATATAGGGACTAATGTTAACTTACCAAAAATTATGTGTTTGGTGTCAACCTACACATCAGTAATTGAAGGTGTTAAAAATCTTCAAGCGTTTATGTGAACTTTCAAAGAATGAGTAGAAAGTTCAGACTCAGGTAAGACTTTTGTCACAGCTTTTAAATTTTTTTAACCTTATTATCTAGAATTTGTCTACATCTATTGATTAAATCAATTTTGATTAAGAGTTGTTTCCGACGCGAACATACTTATTTATATACTTTTTCCATTTGTTTTAATCTAAATTCAACCCAATAGTTTGAAAATATTTTATTGTCATTTTTAGGCATCATTTTTATTTATTCGAGATTTATAAGTTCGCCGTTAGGACTGTCCAAGAGTATTTGACAGGTTTTATAAGTGTAAATTATATGTTTAAAATTCTTTATGGTCTTTCGGTGGTTTTTTTTTTGTTTAATGATCTTTTTGTGTTTTAGAAGATGTGGGTCAAATGTGCAGCAAGGGAGATGTCATGTCATAGAAAGGAATGGTAATAGTTGAACTGTGAAATGTCTTAAGCCGAGCTGTATGATTTAAGGTGAGGTCTTGGGATTTGTGGATGTTTATATATATTTGTTAATGTCTTTTTTGTTTGTAGCAATAGATTAGATTCTTTGATTTTTACTTTTGTTTATTGAAAAGAGACACGGGAAATATGTTTAGTCCTTTCATACTCAGTTATATTTAGTCCAGTGTTTCACACTACATTACATTTATATCATGGATACAATATGACAACATATATTGCAAGAATATGCGGTGAGAAACTGTGAATATGGCATGGCCCCCTATTCAGATTGGGAGGAACAACATTTCGGGTATCTTTTGGACTCATGTGATACTTTTCTCAAACCAAACATTAATCTTTTTTCTTTCTATGAGGTGAAACTACACTTACTTAATATAAAGCAATTTTTAATACTTGAATGACATGTTTTTATAGATTTCAGTTTAACATTCTTTTTAATTGGTGAGTTATTATTCTCCTTTTGGTTCATACAACATACATCAAGCTACTTGAGGTAAAGCTATGTGGTAGTTGTAAATTAACTTACTTTAACTTGATATAGAAAAATATAGAGAGTTTCCCCATCAACACTCAATTATCCTCAAAATATAAAAAACAAAAACAAGAAACACCAAATCAATGTGCCGATCAATCAAGGTTGTCAACATGTTCAAACAAGTGCATCATGTCTGAGTGCTTCTATAGTGCACCTTGGGTGTGTATCATTTTTGTGGACCTCACATAAAAAAATCTTTTATTTCTTTCATAAAATAAATACTTTATTAAGTTGTAAAGAAATGTTTATTTTGCTTATATGTAGGTCCATGGTAGACCTTAGGTTCATCATAGAATTTGCCATCATGTCTCTCTCTTTGTCTCACAAGTACCAATATCTCCATAGGCAGCTGTCTATATATTTTTACTTTCTTGATGGTTCATTTTTTCTTCTAGAGAGAGAAAACGTGATAGGGTGTTAAGAGGACATTAGGACACTAAGGCTTCATGATCACATGATAACCACACGAAGAAGTGGACGATATTGATACTTATAGATTACTTTATGAAGCCGACCTCAATAATGTAGCATTAGACTCTCTGAGGTTGTTTTAGATTGCTTAAAATTTCCCACAAGTCATTATTGGTCGTGTTTTCATTTAAAAAAATATAAGAAAAGTCTAAATTCAATTTGAATTTTCACTATTATACAAAAATTATATCTATGTTCCAATTCATTTATTTTGGTCAAAACAACATGGGCCAGAATTAGAATTTTTACTTTTCAATTCTTAGGTTGCCTAAGTTAGTACAAAATAAATTTCAAATATGCAAAAATATTTCAAATTGAATTACCTGACCTAGCGAATATACTCAATATTAATGATACGTTCTACTTGCATTGATAATTTGATATTTATTTACTTAACTATGATAATGGCAATTTTATATTTGATATCTTCATCATAATTTATAAACTAATCATTGAATCTGAACATGCCTCTTTGTTAATGGCAGTTATTGGTGCATCACTTGAAGCTGCAAAAGCTAGCATCCAAGTGTAGAGTAGTAGTTGCTTGGCCCAAATTTTCTTCGCACTTATAATGTAAGTGGTATAAGTTTTTTGAAGATTGTTTGGTTAACATAAAGTGCATCTTTAGTAGACAAAATAAAGAGAAAATTTTAATGTTAGGCCTAATTTCTTACGGCGTACCAAATATAACTAGAACGGGGGTTCATTTCTTTACTCCCAAAAACAAAACTTGAAAAAAAATGATATTTCATGATTTTTGAATCATATTTTGACCCTAACGATGTGGTAGAAATCAATTATATGTCCATGAATGTGAATTATTATTTGCATTCAATGTGAAGGATGTGTCTGAAGAAAGTGCACATCCGGTGGCATTTAGGAAAATTCTATTTGAAAAATTATTTATCTTTTAAGTTGAAGTTAAGAAATCTTGATTGAATGACTTTGAGCCTTCGTTTGATGTGACTGACATTTGTTTTGATGAGTGGATCGTTAAATAGTTTAAGCAATTGAGTTTTGCCTTTTTTCTCGCCCAAGTTTGAATCTATGTGAGAAATTCTACCAATTGATCATAACTTAAATGTTGTATTATTGTAAATTTCATCCTACAAATTTATTTGAGATTTTTTTGGGTGCAGACTGATATCACTATTTGATCCTCACCTGGTGAACAAACAATAAGGATGGAATTTTTAGCAGGCAAAGCATCTTCTTGCGTCAAGGTTAACATTTGAAATTTAATTCTTCNGTTTTGCCTTTTTTCTCAGCCCAAGTTTGAATCTATGTGAGAAATTCTACCAATTGATCATAACTTAAATGTTGTATTATTGTAAATTTCATCCTACAAATTTATTTGAGATTTTTTTGGGTGCAGACTGATATCACTATTTGATCCTCACCTGGTGAACAAACAATAAGGATGGAATTTTTAGCAGGCAAAGCATCTTCTTGCGTCAAGGTTAACATTTGAAATTTAATTCTTCTATAAAAATTGAACAAATAAGTGGTCAATCTGTGATCATGATTAGTGCTTATGTGCTTCATCCATTTAGACACTATTTGATACTCTTTTCATTGCACTTCTTCTTAAATTCTAGATTTTATTCCCTTTAATACATGAATATTGTTTTAACAATTAACCCCCATCCCCTCGAGACAAATATAAGAATTATCATTATGGATGAATATTTAATAAAATTAATATTTTGTGGCAAGACTTGATTGCAGATTTTATCGATGCTGAAGACAATCAAACGACGCAACTTGAAGATAGTGTATCCACTTTCATGCCAATGAAAAGAACACATGAAGAAGAACCCGATTTTGAAGATAGAGACAAGTCGGTCACCAAGTTAAAGAGTGTCAAAGTTGAAGAAAAAAATATTATATTTGATTTGTTGATGACTTTTGTTTTATGGTTTGACTTACATGGTATGGTTACACTACACCATGTAAAAGCATGTATATGAACCTATGGTTTAGTCTACAAATACTTTATTGTTTTTACAAATACTTCATTTGTTTTAGCCTAAAAGCTTAAACATGTGTCTGAGTCAGTGATAAACTAAAAATTCAAAAAATTTCAATAAAATGGTCTTTTGTCGTATATTGTGTTTATAATATAGCTTTTATTTATATTTTTTGTGTTGGGTCGTACTTACATATATAAAAATAATATAACAGACAACACTGTATAAAAATATTGTTTGTGGGTACAAACATTGCACCTGTCATCATAGTATAAATTTATGTTCCTACTTCAAGGAAAGGAAATTGGAGTCTATTTCTAAGGAGATTTATACTACTACTTTGATGAAGGATGTAAGTTTTCTTTAACAAATAATTTGTTACTAATATATAATATAATTTTTCTTTAACCGATGATCAAATTTTAATCAATTTAACTGCAAAATAATAAACTGGGCGAATATTTCGAGACAAGAGTAATAAGTATATCTAATTTGAATGGGGATTGAAAAAAAATCATATAAAAATGATCTCACCTACCAAAGTCATGATGAGCTTTATATTGTTGTTTCACAAGTAAAGACAAAGATAAGATTAAAAATATTGTTTATAGAAGACAATGGAAATTCTTGCAACCATAACAAAATATTGTATATCTTGGAATCTTTCAAAAATTTTGAAATTACAAAAGACTTTGTCGATTACTTTCAATTTCTCAAATATTATTTATTCTACTTTGGGTTTTGTGTCCATAGTGTTAAAAATAGTGCTACAAATATATTTTATTTATTCCATAAAAATATTAGATTGAAAAAAAAATAGTTTCGGAAAAAAATTTGTTCGGCCCCGTGCGTGGCACGGGTCAAAGTACTAGTTAATTAATAAATTGGCCAGATAAATTAATTATAACATTACAACAATTACTAGCAACTTAACATTTTAATTAATTAAATTTAATATTCCAACTTAATTAAATTTATCCTGCATACCTACTAGCTTATTTCAATTCACGTTCCTAAAATATTTAAGCAGACATGATAACAATTAAATGCACACAAATTAAATGACATAACATTTTTATAAATATTACAGAAAACTTACAACTTCCAGAAAAAGCGGAATTGAACAATTCTGGATTTGAAACTCCCAAAATGAACAAAAACTTAACTTCTTTATACAAATTTCGTAACTAGAGAGAAGGAAGAAGAAAAGTTGTAGAATGGGATAGTTGGAATGGCAGGGGAAGCGCTGCTTTTATAGCCTTCCGGAAGCCTAGGCGCGCGCCTGAAGCTGAGGAGCACGCCTGTCAGGCGCCTGGGCTTCTGTTTGATTGGATTCTCCGCCGAAAATCCGATCTTGCGCCGTTTCAAATCGTCACCCCCACAGGCGTGCGCCTGAGGCTCGGCGCACGCCCCTCAGACGCCTGGGATCAAATTCGGCCCAATTTTGGCAATTTTGATATTTTGATCATTTCTTTTTGCTCCAAAGCATGATTTGATCTCTTCTTCACTTGTGATCATCAATTTGAAATATTTTCTTCTATTTGGCCATGATATGCTTGGAAAAACTAATTTTAATTTTGAACAATCTTTTTATTAACAAATTTGTAAAATGACTTTTTATCATAAAAATTTATTTGAAATTCTTGATTTATTTTTATTTACGTACAAGAACGTTGAAATATAAGGTATAAAATAAGACCAAAAAATTGGACTTATCATACTTCCTATACTGAAATTCCCGAACCGAACATATATACTAATATATTATAAAAAATAATAATCTTTCTATATTTCTTCAGTAAATAGAAAATTTATGTAGACAATTTAGTTTAATTTCATTATGTTTAAGTTGCACTTTAATAAGAGTTTTTTATTTTTTATAGATGAGTATAGGAATATTAACATGTATTTGAAATAATACTTTGTTATCACTCATTCTCTTTAGTTTGTAAAATATAAACTAACTTTCATAAGCATTTCTTATAATTTATTTTTTCATTTTTAAATTTTTTTTATCGTTTTTTACTTAAACGTACTTTCGATTTTTCATAAATAAAAAGTTTGGTTACATTTTATGATGTAAACTAGATACGTATATATTAATCTCGAGTTGTATTGAAACCGGCATCTAACTATCTCGAACCATTTCGAACTGATGCTTCGGGATCGGGATTGGTATAGCGTAAAATTTCATACCGAACCGAAATTTTCCGAACCGAAATATTTGGTAAGGTATGACTAAGGGTCCATTCTGTAGGACTTATTTTTTCTACTTATTACTTATTCTTATTAAAATTAGATCAGATCAGACCTAATCAGATCAGATCAAACTCAATCAGATCAGATCAGACTCAATCAGATCAGACTAGATCTAATCAGATCAGATCAGATACAATAAGATCAGACCAAATCCAATCAGATCAGATCCAATCAGATCAGATCAGACCCTATGAGATCAAAATTTCAAATCAGATCGGGCTTAGGGAAGATTCAATCAGATCGTATTCAGCTCTATTTTGTATGAGCATCCCAGCGGATAACGAGTGTCTTGCAGTTTTTTTCCGCATTTCATCGAATAAGTTTCAGGCCTGCAATGGCGATGTCTTTCTCTACTGGGGTTCATGTTTGCAAGATGTACCCACAAAAACCTGCCAGCAAGCTGACCTCTCCTAAACTCCTTCCTTCTCGAGGTATAATCTACTTCTCGCTTTCCTCTGTGGCGTAACTTCTTTTTCCTTCTTCCATCTTTATAATCCTTGGAATATTCTGATTTTGACCATGTATAGATTGTTATTCCGCTTCTGGAAACTCTGGTTGGTTAAGCGCTGCTTCTAATCATGTGCAATTGGCGATTTCTGGAAAGACGCTTGCTGTAAAGCCTCATGTCAAACTATCATGGGAGAAGAGGCATGTTTTTTGGGCTGTTGTCTTGAGGTGTTACTGTCATTTATGAACTAAAAATCTTCATTCTTTCATTACCTTATTTTGTGGGGTTTTCAGAACCGCAGTGTTGAGAACTGCAACTATAGAGGAAATCGAAGCTGAAAAATCTTTTATAGAAGAAGATGTTGTAAGCATACTGAGATTCTAAGGAAAACAATTTATGATATACTGTTTTCATTGCCGCTTACTGGAAAGTTAGCAGTGCTTCATTTCTTGTTCCAGAAAGAGAGGATGGAGAAGACTATCGAGAGTGTTAGGTCGAATTTCAACTCTATAAGGACAGGGAGAGCTAACCCGGCAATGCTGGATAAAATTGAGGTGAAAAATCCCTTGCAGTTTCACTTTCTGTATGAAAAATATGCAGTCTCAAGTAGTTATGAGTGCCAATTAATTTTGTCCTGATGGCTATGCTCATAATCAAATCCTGGAGAATAATGATGTTCGGAAAATTGTTTCTTTATAGTTAAAAAACATTTCAATGAAATTTTATTCTGAATTTGGTAGGTGGAGTACTATGGTACTCCAGTCAGCTTGAAGAGCATAGCCCAAATTGGCACTCCTGATGCTAGTTCTATCCTGATACAGCCCTATGATAAATCCAGGTACCATCCCTTAATCATGCTTTTAAAGACCGTGATTTGTGTCTCTTCTGCTTCCTGCTTTAATAAGAAGTTACATTTTAATATTTGATGCTTTCCTGCCGAAATTGGATTCCCTCGTTTCGTTTTTTGCCATTCTCTTGGTTTAAATTAGTTATATGGTCTTATAGCTACCAATGTGCTGAATTGCGCACTGTGTAGTTGAGGCGAGGTCGAAACTTCGTTTTGCATTGAATGCATGCCTCGGTTTTATTACAAATTCACATAAGATAATTGTACTAATGATTGCACCTATATTAACATAACTTAAGGAAATGTTATAAATTATTCATTAAAAATCAAGAAACTTCAAAGCCAATTCTAACAATTTACCAAGTCACACTGTCAAATACTCCATTGTAAATTCAAGTATAACATAATAGCAACTATTGCCTGTTGCGGAAAAGTTCAAAATCTATCAAGTTGAGGAATGGAAACTAGTACCAAAAATAAGATTTGGAACACAATTTTGAACGCTGATAGCTAATATAACGTGCAGTTTGCTGATATGTGATAGAGAGTATTTGATTATGTAATTTCTATACCCACCTGCAATATACACGCGTGTGTAGACCACTTATTTTTTTAATGCATTTTGAGTCTTTGGTTATCAGTCTAAAAGCTATAGAGAAGGCAATTGTCAATTCTGATCTTGGTATGACTCCAAATTCTGATGGAGAAGTAATGAGATTAGCTCTCCCTCAATTAACATCTGAAAGGAGGAAGGTGTGTACATCTATTTCTTAATAAATGTACTATCTTGAATTCTTGATGATGTAAATTTTATGCTCAAGATTATTCCATATGGAAATTCACATTCTTGTGAGTGCAATCTAAGATTGCTACACAAGATGATGATTTTTACGCGTAGTGTGATGCTTTCTTAAATCCATTGTCAATGGATCTAAAAGAGTCATTATCCCCAATGTTTTATCATTCGCCACATAGTGGACTAAATCAAAATGGCACATTTATCTTCCTTTGGCTTTTTAATTTCTATGATGTTTTGGGCAGTAAATGCAGCAATGCATCTAGGCTGTAGAAGAAACACCAATATCCTCTCTGCTTTTTTACAGGGGCAAGAGGTTGTTCATCAGTCCAAGACCGGACCGGACCGAAGACCGAATTAAATAAAATCACGGACCGAATACTGGACCTAAACCTATTCGAGTTTGGACTGGACCGGACCGAAATACTTAGGACCGAACCGGTCCGGACTGATTGGACCAAACAAAAAACCTATTTTTAATTATTTTGATCTATTAAAAATATTTTAGGCTTTTTACTTTGTACCATGAAAATACAAAAAAATAGGCAACCTAAAAATAAATACACAATATGAACTACTTCTAAGTAGAACCATAAAAATTAATCTGAAACATTTTTTTATTTTTTTTTAAATTACTTAATAAAAAACCTTTTTAATTAAATAAATTAAGATATCTAATAAAATAGAGAATCAAAGTGTAATATGGAACTTAAAAAGTAGAGTTTTAGTATTTAGGTCTTTTAGGTTCAGTAGGGTTATTAGGTCCATTCTGTCCAGAACTAAATCATTTCAGGTTTGGACCGGACCGGACCAAAACCCGAACACCTAAATTTTCTGGACCGAAGACCGACCCAAAATTCATTCAGTCCGGGTTCGGTCTGGACCTAACGTTCTGGTTCGGTCGGCTTTTTTGGTCCGGACCTAAACGTGAACAACCCCGCAAGACTATGAACATCTTGAACCCCCAAGGCCCCAATGGAGTTGGGATTATATTAGGTTGCTTTATTGTGTTGCCAATTGTAAAGTTATTACGTGGGCTCTGCTCCCTTGTTTTAGTCTCCCGTTGTCCCACAACTAAATTGAGGGTTTGACTTCATGGAGTTTAAGAAAGTGTTGAAAAGTGAAATTTATGATTGATATTTGTTCAGAAGAGAAATATTGTGAGCCACATATACCTATCCTAAAAAGGAAATGGATAAGTGTGAAGTTTATTTTGGGATGAACAAAAAAGTAGGGAGCATCCACCTAGTTGAGTTGGTTCTAGCATACGTTTAGCTTTTCCATATGATACAATTGGAGTTTTTTAAATCTCCAATTGTTCAATTAAATGTATCATTCTAAGCTTGTAACTTGATTTTGTATCATTATTTTCCATTGCATAGGAGTTGTCAAAAGTTGTGGCCAGGCAAGCTGAGGAAGGGAAGGTACTATTTCATGGTTTTAACAATCATATGTTCCTAGTTTCCTATTAATATACCTTTATAGTAAATGATTCTCTAATCTATGTTGAATTAGTGGACCTTTGGAAGGCTTGAGGTTTCAGTGGCATAGAAGAGTGTTTCTTTTCTTTGCAAGACAATTTTGTTTGGGAGAAAATCTTTTGTTTAGTGTCAAGGAACCAACTCAACCAAAAACTCAAGCTTGTGGTTGTATGCCCAAGAAAGGTTATATACTCTAACATGCCCCTCACATGTAGGCGAGATTTGTTTTTGCTCAAGCGTTACACGTGAACATTAATTTTTAAAAAAATGGGTGGCAGTGAATTTTGAACTCGGGGCATCTTGGTCAGCAAGGCTTTGATACAATGTCAAAGAACCAACTCAACCAAAAGCAGCTTGTGATTGTAGGCCCAGGAACAGTTATATACTCTAACACTCAGAAAATAAGCTTTACCCTACAATTAGGGTATATGTTTATACTTTCTGTGATATTACTTACATAACTGCTACTTTACTACTTTGTATGATTTAACAGCCACATATTTTGTGAGTATTACTCCCTCTGTGGGTAAACAAAGGTTCTACATATCTTTTTTGGTTTGTCCCAAAATAGGATTTCACTTTCTTCTCAAGGAGAAATTGTGTGGTTCATGTTATTTTTCTACTCTCTACATAAAGCTCAATGACATTACTTCACCTTTATTAATAAGAGTCAAACGTGGAACCTTATTCTTGTGCAGAGGGTGTAGAAACTATAGGTATTAAGTGTCTAATATTCTGCACTACACATTCTTCTATGTCGTTTCAACTTTTCTCCTGTATAAAATCCAAATGTTGCAAGCTACTGTCAAATATTACTGTCCCAAATATAAGCCGCATAAATCATACAGAATATGGTACGAGACATAAAAATCGGGACAATGAAAAAAAGGAACAAAAGTAGTGGGTCAGATGGAATAGTAGGTTAGTGAATGTCATGAAAAGTTTTCATCATTTCTTTTTCAACAACAACAACAACAACAACCCAGGTGAATCCCACAACAGTAGGGTCTGGGGAGGGTGTGTGTACGCAGACCTTGCCCCTACTCGGAAGTAGGGAGGCTGTTTCCAAGAGACCCCCGGCTCCACCTGCAAAGAAATATGGAAGGGAACACAGTATAACACAGATAAAGCACCAAGTACAAGCAATAGCAGAAGATTCCAAACGAATACAACACACTACAAAACAACCTCTACAACACCAAGCTCCTATCCAGCTACTCTAATTCTAGTTTTCCAAAGGTTCCTATCTAGGGCCATATCCTCAGTCAGGTCGAGAAGTCCTAAATCCTGCCTAATCACCTCCTACCAGTTCTTCCTAGGTCTACCCCTTCCTCTACTTCCCCCGATAACTGTAATCCTCTCGCATCTCCGTACAGGAGCGTCAGGATCCCGCTGTCTCACATGGCCAAACCATCTTAACCTCGCTTCCCGCAACTTATCTTCCACAGGTGCCATGCCTACCTGACGTCGGATAACTTCGTTTGAAACCCTATCCAACCTTGTCTTCCCACACATCCATCGTAACATCCGCATCATCATTTCTTTTTCAAAAAATCAAATATTCACTAATTTTCAGTACTCGCATTGTGAGCTGCAAACTTCCTTTAATCATTTCTTAGGGTGAATATTTTACCAAAATTGTAGGTTATATAAGGTCATATTAATTAACCTGTGACTATTCATATTCCATGTTGTAATTAACTCCCATCAATGTCTCCTTTTGCATGTTTCGTACGTTCATTGGATCATGATTTTACTTTGTTAAGAATAGAGTAGCTAAATGTGTTCCGTTTTTATATACTTCTAATTCGCACCCTTTCAACATCCATTGAAACTTTATTTTTTGTAGTCCTTGTTGCTTACATTGTATAGGTTGCTTTAAGGAACATAAGAAGAGATGCCATCAAATCGTATGAAAAACTTGAAAAGGTTTTTGAATCTTTTTGATTTTTCCACCCTTTTATCATTTGAGATGTTACTTCTATTGGTAACTTCTTAGTCATATCTTCTCAGGAGAAAAAACTCTCTGAAGACAATGTAAAGGATCTGTCTAATGATTTACAAAAAGTTACTGATGAGTATATTAGGAAGATCGATGCTATCTATAAGCAGAAGGAGAAGGTAATATTTCGTTAGATATCATTGCATTTTTAACTCATAAAATTATCATTAATATCGCAATTAGTTGAGAAAAATCAGATTGAGTTATATGCATGATAGTGTGGCCAACTCATGATTCCTTGGGAGTTCTGGAGTAATTAGTAAAACTCATATACTAAACTGAAGAACAAGTAAATGTTAAAATTGACAACAAAAGAAAAGCTCTGAGCATTTGCAGCGTATCACCAATGGGTGGCAATGCACTGCAGATGCTTGGTGTCCTGGGGAGTGGGTTCTGCCAGTCGTGTTTGGGGAAGTATAACATTTGCCTGATGATTGACTGGAAACATTCTGTCACTGGGCAATATGTTGTCATACCCGAAGTCTTGCAAATTGTTCGCTCCAATGCTTGGTGGCATACCGTCGAATTTCGTGTCTTGCCACATTTCATTTAACTCTTGCATTCTGAACTTATTAGGTTTTTTGGCATGAAGCCAATGTTTCGAAATAATTTCCTAAGCTTTTGCACTGTTTTTATTTTACTCCGATAGATGTTTTATAGAAATTTCAAAGGGGCAGGGGCAGGGGCCAACCAACTAACTCATGTGTTTGGGTTATGCAAGTTGGGGTGTTACTGGGAGGGGGTGGAAGGTGATAGAATTTAGGATTGGGTAGAGATAACTGGATTGGGGCAATAAGACACTTGGGTTGAACCACATTAAAATATTGAATCCAATCGATTAGTTAGTTCAATCAAGAGCTTATATACCGATTAATTTCCTCACACTTTTCTGATGTGGGATGCTCTTTAACAGAAGGGGTGGGGGCTGGGGTTGAAGGGGGAGGGGGTCGTGGAGGCGGGGTAGGGCAAGAGGGGTGGAAGGCAAGGGGTTGGGAGAAAATATATTTATTAAAAATATTTTTCCTAGAGCTATTTTCCTATCATTAATGTTACCAAAATTGAAATTTAGTGGCAAAATATAAAATATGGAAAAGATCACAGGTTCTCCTCTTTAAAGTGTTCTTGTTTTGCTCTTATCCACTAACCAATTTTGAAATCCATTGAATGGTGGAGTTATATGAAACTGTGAAAAGATAGGTTCATTTCTAGAAGCTTGATTGCACACATGGTTTCATCTTCTTTTTCCTTTTTGGTTTTGACAGGAATTGCTGACCGTTTAGCAGCAGCTTTTGGGCACCCAAAGTTTAGTTTGGGTTTTATTGGAACGCACACACTTCCTCAGATCTTCTAAGCCCATGTTTAGTATGTTTCTGATTCATAAATTTTGTACAGTTATGTTTCATGGGAATATGAGAGAGGCTGATCAGTGTTGAAAATCTGAATCAGATTTTACTTGTTTCAGAAGAATATGGACGGACTATGGAGTTTTGGTGTATTTTTGGTAGGTAAAAAAAAAGGCTAAACTAGGTAAAATACTAAAAATTTAAACCAAGAATGTGAATATCCAAACACTTCTTTCCAAATGCTCTTATCAACAACATTTTGCAATTGGCATCTTGACCCATCAAAAATGTTCTTTTCCCCAAAATGATAAGCATTACAGTACCAAACATATGCTCATTGTTATTTCACTAACCATCAAACAAAATGCCCTTTAAGGTCATTTACCAACTCTTTTTCTGCATTCAATTTTTCCACACGCTGATCATAAAAACATGGAAAATGGAAGGGAATACATGGGAGGAAAGTTAAAATGGAAGAAAAAGTTTTATGTGAATAAAAACATATTTGAACTCACCTACTATCTAGTGGAGTATCTACTAGGAAATTTCAAAGTAAACAAGTCATTTACATCCAGTCGTTAATTAAAGTTTAAAGCCTAACCAATCCATGCATTGTTGCCCTAATGAATGGATTCAATTTACATATAATGCTCTGTATTATATATCCAAATTTAGTTCCTTAAATTCTTCCAACATTTTCTAACTCCTAGTTTTTTCCCCCAAAATTCTTATGGTTTCTTTTAATTTCTTTCAAAACACAACTCATAAATTTTAACTCAAAAGAGCAAGGGCTAAAAAATAAAAATTCCTCACCTCTCTACACTTTTCCTCTCATCATAGGTTATAGGTTATTTTACATAGTTAGTCTCTACATATCAAATATTACTAATTTAGTCCCCAATTATTATATCATTTTTCACGAATGGTCCTTTGTTAACGTTTTTGTTAAGAACATGGATAAAATTGTATATTCATACTTCTCTCTCCTCAATTAAGCTTCCTCTCTCCTTTCATCTTTCTTCCCAAACTTGTCCCTGAGTTTGAAGCTCTAAACGCAAAACTAAAATAATCATTCCTCTCTCAATTATTAGTCTTCCCGGTGGAATTTAAATTCAAAACCAATAACTTTTATGGATGAGTTTTATCGGTTACTCTCAAAAAATTGCAAAGAAACTAAACATTAAAACTCCTCCATGAAGGTTACTGATTTTGAATTTGGGTTCCACTAGTTAGACAAACAATTGAGAGAATAGTGATTATTTCGGTTTTGAGTTCAAAGCTTCAAACTTCAGCGACGAGTTTGGAAAAGGAGTGCGAGGGGAGGGAGGAAGCTTAATTGAGGAGAGAGAAGAGTGTGAATTTACAATTTTATCCACGTTCTTAACAGAAATGTTAACAAAGGACCATTCGTGAAAATGAATATAATAATTGGAGACTAAATTAGTAATATTTGATTTGTAGGGACTAAATATGTAAAACGATCTATAACTGGGGACCTTTTATAGAATTTACTCTAAAATAAAATATGGGTAATTTACCTAAATATGATTAAAACATAATGACTTTCTCAATATAAGACCATATGTTTTTACTCCCTCCGTCCCATAAAGTATTACCCATTTTGACTAAAGTAGAAATTAAGGGAGGGATAATTTTGTGTTGACTTTCCAAAAATACCCTTGATGTGATGGGTAAAAGTAGAATGTGATGTGTAGATTATTAGGAAAAAGGTATGATGTGATAGGTAGGGTTTGAAAAAGTAAGGGGTAAAAGTGGTTTTTTAATAGAAATGATTAAGGGATTGTGGGACACAATTTTTTTTGAAACGTGTAAATCTTTTTGGGACGGAGGGAGTATTTCTTATTGTAGAACCATTGATTATTATCTATTAGTCATTATTCAATTAAATATCCAGCATTCTTTGGACATTATTCTTCTCACTAGTCATTATTAAGTCTTATTTAGGGAATAAAAAAGTTTAAGTCTTACATAAGGAAATGACTTATGTTTTAGTCCTATTCAGTGCAAATTTCAATAAAATATTTTTAAAATCTCTTATTTTGAAGATATTTTTCATATAGTTTTTAAATATGCAAATTTTATTTTTTATACCAATATTTAAATAAAATAAATTGAAAAAACATGATATTTTACTTCGTTTTGCGAAAATTACAACATACCCGTAGATAATACTAAAGTGCAAATCAAGTTCATAATTTTTAAATGCTAAAGTCCTCATCATTGTTTTGTTTGGAAACTTTTAAAAACTCTCCATCCCGAGTACCTATATCATACACCTAAATGTACAATATTTTTCGTTTATCTACTTGAATACTCATTTTTTTATCTGAACACTTATTTTCATGCAATAACTGAATTTTAGTAAAAATGAGTATTTAGCTACTCAAAAATGAATGCTTATTTGTACAAAAATGAGTATTCAATTGCTTGAATATGAGTATCCAATTGGTCGTAAATGAGTACTTACCGCAGATGTAACGAAAACATCGTCTAAGTTGTACGATATATATTGCGTTCTATCCCAAATGATATTTTAGTTTGACTTTTATGTTAACCTTGACCACAAAATAAATACTACCTTCGTCCAGAGTATTTGTCCACTTTCATTTTTACACACCATCCAATACACTTTTTTAATCCATTTTGTCTTGTAATTTGTATATTAAAACATTATAGAAATTATATATTAATAATCTATATGTTAAGACAAATCAAACAAGATCACACATGACTATATTTAGGCTTACACATTGAGAGAATTTGATGAGTCAAAGTGCTTAAATGAACAGTTCCAAAAGTCAAAACTGGACGAATACTCTGGGACAGAAGGAGTATAATATTCAATAGATAAAAGATAAAAATTTAATACCGAGTATGTCAAAACTACATCATAAAACAAGCTTAATTATATTAAATTTACAATAAAAGTAAATATATATTTTTTTCATATTTTATAGTCAAAATTAGCATAAAAGTCAAACTAAAAAGAAATAGTTTGGATCGAAAGGAGTGCTCCCTATTTGCGAGGGAACACTTTTTTCACTCAACCCTTCCTTCGGGGATTGAGATATGCAGTCCAAGTTACTACCGGCGTTCTACGTTTTCTAGTAGTTTTTCGCAATGGCAATATTTCCCTTCTGTTTATAAAACCTTCCACATACTCGTTATTCCACTACATTCTTAATTAATATGGATTATACGCTATACCCCACTCCCACTACATTCTTTCTAACAATTACCAATAAATAAAAATTCTTCTTCATTTTTTAGTGTCAAATTTTTATTTGAAAACTTAAATTTGGATTTCAAATATGAATTTGATCTAAATTACTTGTCTGGAAATTCAAAAATTCAGAATTGAACCAAATTCTTCTAAATTAAAATAAATTTAACTAGAAATTCATACCTCTTCCCAATATCATTTACAAATTTAAACCTTTTTTATTTAATTAATTCATGTAATTAAAGAGTTAATTCTTTTTATGCAATAACATTTTCATACATATCAATCTACTTAATTATATCATTATCTTTGCTGACTTCAACAACAGTATCATACATATCAACCTGTTTATATACATTTCAATCCGCTTCTATCATTATCCATCTTTGCCCAATTGAAGTCTAAGATTTAAAATTAATTTTAGTTCCCAAATATTACCTTAACGAAATTAAATAAGTGTTAGTGTTTAATCCCTTAAAAGTTTTAGTGTTACCTTAAAATATTCCTTTTTAAACATAACTAAATTTTATAAAACCCTTTCAGCAGGTATAAAAATAATTATGAACTCCATACATTAAAAATATACGGAGTATATACTTTAAATTTGTGAAATGCATATTAGTATAATATTTTGAAAATAGAGTGTTTCTAAGATCTTCCCTTTATTTAGTTTATTTAGAATATAAATTTTAATCTGTATTTCAAAAAAGATAAAGTATCTTAGAGTGAAAAATTATTTATACTATATATAACATATATTATATCAATATTATAAATTTAAAAGTAATTAAATTATATATAATATATCAAAATGTTAGAATGTCTACGATTATATGCGAAACAAGGAGTTAACATAAATAGTTTTTCCCTCTATCCTAATTAGATTATCATCACATTTATTATCAAAGTCTCTCGATAAATTTTGTTTGTTTGCACATTTTTATTGATCAATTGCCAAAATGAAATATAGTTCTCACCACTTGTTTAATACTCTAGAGTAGAAGCTTTGATATTGTTTTTGAGCATTTAATATACGCTTTTAATTTGTTTATCAATTTGTAAACAAAACGATTTTAAAAAGTATGAGGTTTTATGGGTCTGTTTGGGAACATCGTTAGAGATTAGCGGTAACATTTTGGATAAAATTTTAACGGTGCAGATTACTTTGAAAATGTTAACGCTAAACGCTGCCCGTAGATAGTCTTTTCAAAACGCTAACGCTAATCGTTAACGCTATTCCCAAACAGGCCCTATATGTTGTTTGAAGTTAGACGATAACTTTAAAACAGAAGAAATATTGTTTTAAGGTAATTTGAAGTTGTTAAAATATGATGAAAACATTTTATTGATAAAAGTAGGAGAGAACATGGAGAGATTGTGTGGGAGGGATATAACGGATAATTAATGTAGTCGAGCAGCCCACCGTATATAGCCAATTGCAAATATAGTGGATGAGATTTTTTACCAAAAGGGCAATATTGTCATTTAAGGAAAAAAGTGGAGCGCCGTTAGCCATAGTTGGAGCGCGTATATCAATTGCCCTTCCATCCCACTTTAGGGTCCATTTAGAAACTAGGAAAATGAGTTATTCTCCTGAAGTCATATTCTTTTTCTGTGTTAGGCTGAAAATGATCTACTTGGGGTATCTCTCTTTGATTCATTTTCCAGAAAATGAATATCCTTAGAAGTGTTTAATTATTACCACATAAACCAAAAAAAGAAAGAGGCTTTGTTGTTGTTGACTCATAATAACAATGACAAACTCCCCTTTATATGATTCATACAAACATACCTAATAACAAAATGACACAAGCATCCACTAATTCGTAAAATCTGGTCTGACACTCTGACTCCATAAAACTCTTTGATTCATGTCTTCCTTCTTCAAACAAAGCACCCCTAAAAACACTCAGTTCCATTTGCTCAGTCCATCTGAATTGCAGTAGGCACAACCACAGCCATCCTTAGCCTTGCGCCACTACAGCCATTTTAAGCCTTCCTAGTTCCTACTCCCTCCGTCCCTGTGTATTTGTCCAGTTTGACTTTTTCGAGTCAAACTGGACAAACTTTGAGCTTCAATTAAATAAAAACCGTAATGTATTTTAACATAAAAATAACTTTATTGGATTTATCGTATTGAGAACTTTCAAAATTGTATTTCATTATACTAATATGCAATATAAATTGAGAATAATTGGAATTCAAAGATTATCCAGTTTGACTCGAAAAAGTCAAACTGGACAAATACACTGGGACCGAGGTAGTAGTTAGTTTCCAAAGAAGGTGAAATATCAGTAGATGGATGTATTACAAACTAGCGGCAATATGTAAGAGTAATATGCCAGAAGAACACTAATCAACTCGAATAAGATAGCAAAGAGAGCAGATTCAAGAACACAGACACATTATAAAAGGCCAATTACTATAACAAAATGAATTACCTAAGCTATTCTTTATCAGAAAAAATAACCTAAGCTATTTGGACACCATAAATTACTCAGTAAAATCCAGTCCAAAAATAAAAAATTAGTAACTATGAATAGGAGATACTAAAAATCAGAATTGCTTTTGTTTGGTTCATTTTCTGAAAAATTAAAAATCATTTTGAAGCATAAATCAAACAAATCACCCAAACTCAATCCAGGCATTCATAGCACAAAAAACAACCCAGGCATTCATGCACTAACTCAGGATCTATTCTCTAGTTTTCCCCAAGATCTTAATCAACCAAGAATAAAGAATTGTTCTTCAATGTCCTCCCCCAGAAAATAAAAACAAATGAATCACATTCCAAGCCTAAATTAAATTTATAGACCAAAACCTAATCTGTAAGGGAATAACGAATTTACCCTTCTTGCCACTGATGTGCTACTGTGAAGATGAACAGTGACAAGGAAGAAGATGTGCATAGGCGACGATGGGGATGAGATGGTGAAGATGCAGGACGAAGGAGATGGGAAATGGCGGCGATAGGGATGGAGACGGTGGAGATGGGGGGACGACGATGAAGACGGGGATTGAGATCAGCGGAGAGCGGAAAAGAGAGGTGGAAAATGACTTCCGTAAAAAAAGTCTGGAAGTCAAATTCATTTTCCATTTGACCAGGAGTTTGTTTTCTTTACACCATTTTCATATCTTGTCAAACACTGGAGAATGGGAAAAATGACTTCCAGAAGTCCTTTTTCCCCTTTCCAAATGGAGCCTTAATTCTTTCTCTCCATTAAGCTGGGGTGGGAAATTTCCACATATAGAGACAAAAAAAGTATGTGAGAAAAAATGGTAATCACACTAGTGGGGAGCAAAAATATATGTAATATTCTCCCATTGGTGGGAGTGGGAGGAATGAGGCGATTCTATCACGTCTTCCCTACTCGAGCCACACACAAAGAATGGATAGAGTTCAATGGATGGGAGAAAGATGAAGAATGCATGTGTTACTTTCATTGGTTCTGTAAAATGACCGGAGAGTGTGAAGATGTTTACATTTTCTTGTGTATTTAACTTAGCGTGTGGGATGAAAGAGAAGTTCTATCCATCAATTGTCAGACCAGCGATGTTGTATGGCTTGGAGTACTGAGCAGTTCAGAAAACCCACATGAGTAAGGTATATGTAGTAGAGATGTGGGTGCCACGGTGGATATATGGGTAGACAAGGTTGGATAAGATTCAAAATGAGGTTATTAGGAGACGGGTGGAGAATAGGCTGAGAGAGAGTAGGTTGAGGTGGTTTGGACACGTGATGCGATACAATACAGAGGCTTTGGTGCAAAGATGTGAGGCCTACGATGGTGTGGCCGAAATAGAGGAAGAGGTAGACCTAGGACATGACCTAAGACTTTTGGGTCTTACCAAGGATATGACTTTAGATAGGTGAATCTCGAGAGCTGGGACTAGGATGATAATTGGGTAGACTTTTGGACATTGAGGTAGTTTCTACACTTGTTGCATGCTGCTTTGTAGGGTGCTTTCTTTTTCTTTGTGTTTTTCTTTCAATCTTTCTTTTCTTTTTACTTGCTGGGTGCTTTTTTGGTCATGCTCTTTGCTTTCTATATTTTACGTGTTTTCTCGAGTTGGGGTCTCTTTTGGAAAAAATCTCAAATTTCAAGTAGGTGCATAGTTATCAAGGCGTCGCCTAGGCGTCTGGGCGAGGTATTGTGGACGCCCAATTGGTCGCCTAGCCTTTTCTTCCCTCGGCGACTGAGGCTTCAGTTTAGCGTCTGTTTGCCATCTATTTGGCGTCGATTTGAGATCTGAATCGCAAGGAACATCGGAAATCCATATGAATTGTCCGGGATCTGTGATTTAGATCGTGAGGTCGTAAATCTATTGGATCGCGATCGACGGAGATTCGTTAGGTTTTGTCCTGCGTTCGTGAATTCTCTGGATCTACGCGAGTACGCGACCCTTCGGTTTTGACGGAAACCCCTGAGGCTTTGACTAGCGACAGACCAGGTAAAGTAAGGTGTTTCTTTTTTTTATTTTTTATTTTTTTTGTGAGTGAAACATGCGGAATTTTTTAGACAGGCTTTGACTGTGGACTTTTTTAAGGAAATATACTTTATACTCCCTCCGTTCTCAAAAACACTTCCTCTTTCATTTTTTCCACTTCCAACAAAACACTTCCTTTTTCTATTAAAAAACCACTTTTACCCTTACTTTTTCATACCCTACCTATCACATCATACTTTTTCTCTAATAATCTATCCATCACATCTTACTTTTACCCATCACATCAGGGGCAAAATTGGAAATCAACTATAAATTTAACAATTTCTTATTTTTGCCCCAAATCAAAATGGGAAGGGTTTTTCCAAACGGAGGGAGTATTTTTTAAAAGTAATGTGTTATCTATTCTTGTTTTCTACAAAGTATATACTAAATAATGTATTTCATACCTATAAAATTAATTATTCCATCGTATATGCTTTTACATCAGTATCAATAAAATTATTAGGGTCGCCATAGCCCACTCGCCCAGCGGACGCCTAGGCGGGCGCCTAATCGCCTAGGCGATTGGAAGGTACTCTAGCGCCCAGCCTCGCCTAGCCGCCGTAACAACTATGAGTAGGTGTTTTAAGAAATAGGGATTCTAATGGAATGTTGTTGTTATTGTTGTGTATATATTTGACTTAGATCAAATGGCTTAAAAACTAGGGAGTACAAGGTTAAGGAGGAGAGACAAAGAGTCTTGATAGAACAAATATACTTGGGGGGGGGGGGGGGGGGGGGNGAGTATCTAAAACATGCATGTTATGTTTTCACTTTTCTTTTTTACTGATACCAAAACTATGTTTCTCTTTCTCTTAACGAATGAATTATTTGATTTATTAAATTCTTTAATATTTTGCATAAATTACTACGTATTTCTTAAATTGTGTCCGTCAAAGTGACATAATTTCTGCATATACCTAAAATTTATGGTAGACCTTCATATAAGTTTATAAGCATTTACTTAGTATTGAGATAAACACATCTTAATTTTTTTAAACTAAGGGTCTGTTTGATTGGGGCCTTGGGGGGGATACTTTTCTGGAAAACTTCAATTCTAATTTCTAATGATAGGTAACATAAGTGATGAAAAATTATTTTTTAGGAAAATATTTTTGAAAAAAAGGAGAATATGGCTCCCGTTTCCTTTAGACGGGAGTTCATTTTCTTACTCAATCCAATTTGAAAAAAAGGAGAATTTGGCTCCCGTTTGCTTTAGACGGAAGTTTATTTTCTTACTCAATCCAATGCATCATCAGGTCGGCCATTCATATAAGTCGATATAAAGAAAATGCCATTCCTCAAAGCATTGCAGCAATGGAAATATGGAATGCAAAATTGCAAAAAGCATACCTTTGAAGCAATTCTTTGTTATTCAATCCGCTAAACCTTGGTAGTCTGCTTCCAACAGACTCTTCAAAAGCATTGCGCACAGACCGAATGCTTAGCCTTCCATACATTATCTTCAGAGTTTCTTAGGCATTATGTCATTGGCCTCTGTGTTTTGGAGAAGGTATAATCGGACTGTATGGACTGCAAGTCCCGTTTTTGGATTCTCTTGCATGAATGGTTTTTGCGTTATTTGTGCTGGCAGGGTATTTATTGAAACTTTTAAGTGGGTGTCATTTGGCAGGGTCTTGGAGCATCTGCACCCTACGCCCCTACGGTTTTTTCTTGTCTGTTTGTTCTTTGGTGTAGGGAAGCAGGGCGTTTTCCTCTTTTTATGAGCTATGACTTTTTTTAGGCATTAGTTAGTTTCTTTAGGCATTAGTTAGTTTCTTTGGCATTTACTTGGACTTGAGCTCTATAGCCTTTGGGTTGTATTATCTTTTGCTTTATCACTAACACTTTTTTAAATAAAAGGTTTTGATGGGTATGCTTTAGCTCATTGACGTTTAATTTGTTTAGATCATTTGTCTAAGTTTCTTATTACTATTTTGCTTAATCTTCCATTGTAGTATTTTTGGGTAAGAAACTGTTAGAAAATAGGTAGGCCTGTTATGTATGCATGTGTGTGCTACTCATCTACTTTCAAGCTTTGGTAAAAGACTATCATTGTGAACCAAATGACTCCCTAATAAGTGGGTCACTCTCACTCATTGTATTGCAATTTTTTCCTCCCTCATTATCCTATTTTTTACTCTGGTCTTGAATTTCTTTACTCTTAAAAGTTTTACTTCAGTGTATAGCGAAGTCCAAAATGAGAGGATTCAAAATAATTGTACGTTTTCTATGAAGAGATCTTATATTTGCCAGAGTATATACTTTTTGAAACAATCACCCGTGGTCTTATCTTGTAATGTTATGATGGAATTTTATATTTTTTGTACAGTGTGCTTTTCTTCACAATACTCGTAGATGTTCATAATCATGTCTAATTCTTTCTGAACTAAAACTAATGGTTCCTCTATTGAAGATAGTTTAAGTATATATATTTTTAAAGCACTTCTATGCACTTTTCATTAAGCGAAATAGGTACAGAGTATATATCACTTTAAATTTATACTTCAAATTTTATTATTCAGTGTTAGACATTTATTCAACAAAGTTCTTATTTTTTCATATTTTGGATGAAATTCTTATAGTGCACGCACAATGGGTGAATCTAGTGTCCACCGAAACGAAAATAGATTTGCACAAACTCTATTGGTATGTCATTATCATTGTAGTAAATGCCAACAAAAGTCTTGACAAATATATTTGAAAAAGAAAAGAAGAAGTTTACCCCCACACAAGCTCCTCGGTAAATGTCGCACTACTTTTGAAGAAGTGAAGCCAGATTGAGTTCAACATCCTCTCTGGCCTTTTTATCGAATGGTTCATCACCGATGTACAGGTCTAAAATCGATCGACACAATGCTTTGCTCTGTATGCTTCCCACTTCCTTTCCATTAACTACAAAAATCAAATGATAATTATATATTACATTGATTGAGAATTAATTGATGAGCGTAATTTCCGGATTGAAGCAAGAGAACTTAACTATTTGCATTGTTAACAGAAGAAGGATTCAATTTTGCAAGGTACAATCAAGTAAGGAATAGATGGGAACCACGTCTTCATATAATCCAACCACTTTGATTGCAAATAATAACAATCAAATATGCTCCCTCCGTCCTCAAATTAAAGTCACACTTTCACTTCAAAGAGTGTAAGAGAAATGTGAGTTAGCCAGGTATGAACTTTATATAGACGGATGGAAAAAGAAAGTGTGGATTTAACTTCAGGGCGGAGGGAGTAATATAATACTCCCTCCGTCCATAAATAAACTTCCCACTTTCCTTTTTTTTCTTTACTCTTACCCATCCACCCTCTTTCTTTTCTTGTTTCTTCTTCCTCTCGATCCGGCCACATCCCACCCATTCTTCTTTCTTCTTTTCTTTTCTCTTTTTTCTTTTTCCCCCTCCCTTTTGATTCGCCCACTCCTCTTCGTTTTTCCTTCTTTTTTCTCTCTTCTTCTTCTTCTTCTTCTTCTTCTTCTTCTTCTTCTTCTTTCTTTTCTTCTCTTCTTCGTTCTTTTCTTCTTCTACTTCTTCTTCTTCTTCTTTCATTCCTTTTTCCTCCCCCTTCTGATCTTGTCCCGTCACCTAGTGATTGGGAGCAGCGGAGCAGAGAGGCAGTGGTCAGAGGTGACGCGGCAGTCAGATCTGTTCCTCTTCCGACATAGCCGCCATCAATTCCATAGATCTACAAAGCCTCTGTTGCTCGTAGCCTCAGATGAGATTCATCCGTTTCCGGGTTGTCTTCAACGAGAAGATACAAAACAGATCTAGAATAGATCTGTGAGGGTGGGGGTTATGGAAGGGATGGCGGCAACAAGAATGAGAGAGGTCATCTGGTGGTACTGGAGAGTTGTCGGCGGTGCCGGAGAATCGCCGGCGGTGGTGTTGGCAATGGCAGATGGCTAACTAATCGATGGAATTGAGCGTTTGAGAGATGTACAGGTGCAGGGGTATAATAGGAAAGTCAAAGAGATTTTTATCATGCATTAATGTGCGTGCCCGGTCAAACCGGGAAGTTTATTTATGGTCGGAGGGACCGAGGGAGTATTAATAATATACTTCATATGTAGTAATAAGTATAATGATAATCATGACCATAATCTCATTACTCAATAGTGCAAAATTTAGAATCAAGAAATGCCCCTGGATGGGATTCGGAAGACAACGATAAATAGCAATCTTACTTGTGGTCTGAAGTACAAAGCCAGGCTCCCTTGAGAGTTCTATGACAGCTCCACGAGGTATCTTGATTTCATCACTGAACTGGGAAGTGAATCTGCAGTAAAGACAAGTACTTTAGGCCATCTTTTCTGGAGCAAAGCCGTGAAGGGGGAAAATACAGGGGAAGAATGGTTAGCTGATTGCCTTCTGCATCAAACCAGTAGCAGTTCAGGAGACATCAATGAAACTGAACTGAGAGGGATATGTCCCATGGATCAGCAGTACAAGTGTTAAGAGTATTAAATGCTTCTTGGGTCTTTAACCATACACATAAACTATAGGTTAGAGACCCAGAAGATGTTGCATACTCTAACACACAGATAACTCATACCACATTGGTCCAGAGATCGAATTGCTTCACTTCATGTTCCTCATAAACTACTTGGCCATTCATAGAAGTCGATATTACAGAAAACACCATTCATCAAAGCATTGCAGCAACGGAATACAGAAGCATATACCTTTGAAGCAATTCTTTGTTATCTGATCCGCCAAACCTTTGTAGTCTGCTTCCAACAGACTCTTCAAAAGCACTGCGCACGGACCGAATGCTTAGCCTTCCATACATTATCTGCAGCCTAATGGTGGTGCGTATATCATTGTCCATTAGTTCACCCTTCAGCTCCTTTGCCTGTGACTGAGAACCAAAAAGCGTCTCATTTTTTTCTTTGAGAAAGCTCTGCACATCAGCTTCATTGGCATACACGCCTGCATGCTCAATATCACAAACCCGAGTCCTCATTAGGTTAAATCACGAATTAAGTTTAGGTCCACCTACAACAATTTGTTGTGCCAAGTTTTACTAGATAGAGATTAAGAGACTGAAAACTATGTGATTGAGATTTATGTAAATAAGAGAGAAACTGTACGGATCACAAAGTGTTTATTACTAAATCTTATAAGTGAAAACAGATACAACAGATTGGGACAGGAGTGGTGCGATAATAACAATGCCATACCAAAAGCATAGACATCGATGTTCTTTAATCCCAAAATGGACTTCTTTCTCAACCCGATCCCTAGAAGTCGCTGAGAGTATTTCAGAACGGCCGGGAATGACATACCGGTCCTCGATTCCGTCACAGGGGCCGAGCTGCCGGAGAGAGAAAGGGAACCCCATAACGGGTGGAAGTGATTCTTCTCGGGTGAGAAGTTTGAGAGCAGGAAATTCAGTGGGTGGTGCTTGCTTGTGATCTGCGCGATTGCAAGGATTCCGCCGGCAGCAACGGCAGCGGAAGACGCGACTGCGGTGTTAGAGAAGGGGCGGGAAGAGCAAGTGGAGGGTTGATTCGGTGGCTTAGGAAAGAAGAATGGGAAGCGGAGGGAAGCCATAGTTGCTGACTTGCTGCAGCTTTCTCGTTTGATTTGACAGAAGAACCAGAGGGATGTAGAGATATTTTTTATCAATAAGACAATTTTCTTTTGATTCAGATAGGATTACGCAGTTCGCTAGGCAAGGGGTGCTACGGGATAATATTCGAGTTTGATTTTTGACAAGTGCACTAGAAGCAAATATGCTAAGCACAGGGCTTCTGGAAGTACCAGGTGCACGCTCTATTTTTTGTCACCAATCTACTATTAGAATCCAATTTATTTGCTCTCAGTGACCGTCCGGTCGGGTCTGAGAAGACCCTCGAGCATGAGGCCCATCCATTTGAATAAATACAAAAATAGTCGGTCTCATATTTTTATTTCCAAAATAAGAGTTAAATTATATTTACATTACAAATCATGACTATGTACATTACTAAAAACTAAATCTGATCAAAGTGCAGGCCAAGCCAGGTTTTGGGCCGGACTGAGACACTACATTACGAGAATTTTCTAGCCACAAACCCGGCCGGACTCGTATAGCGGGCCTAACAATTAAAGCCCGAGCCTGGCCCAGGGGATACCCACGGGCTTCGCACCGGGCCAGGCCAGCCCGCACGACAAAAGCTTCTAAATAATTTTAAAATAATTTTTTTTAAAATAAAGTAATGTATTACGAAGTAATATACTACATGTTTAATATAATAAATATAGTGAGTAAATGAAAACATAACTGATATATAAAATGTGTTTTGTTTGAAATTGCTGCTACATATGGAGTAGGGGTGTACAAAATCCAGGTTGGACCAAAAACCAGACCAGACTAAAAAAAACGGTTTCGGGCTAGCCGGTAAAATTCCAGACCAGTCTCCGGTCTAAAGGTTTAAGACTGGTAAAATTCCGGTCCATTCCGGTCCAAGACCAGATCGTTTCCGGGTTTGACCGGTAAGACCGGAATGTCCATTTTTTTAAAAAAAATATTAATACCTATAATACGGAGTATATATATAATTACAGATACAACTTTATATTTTCATTTATTCTTCTTAATTTAATACGAAGTATAATTTTTAAATGTAATTTGTATTTTTTAATTCATTTTATTGACCTTTACCATAAAGTATTCATAATTATAAAAACTAAAATTATCTTCCAAAAATTGAAGTAGAATATTTCGATTTAAAGTATTAAATACTTTGACATATACCTTATTCTTGCTAAAAGAAAAACACTTTAAAGTACAATTTCATAATTTTAAAATCCCACAAACTAACGGAAGTATAAACATCATTTTAAACTTATTATATTGTTAATAAAAATATTTATATCAATATAATTTCTTGAAACACACCCAATGGATATAAAAATTAAATGTAGGGTTGAAATTAATTCAAATCAAGCTACAATATTGAAAAACAAGTTTAACACATTGACAAAAAGAATTAGAAAAAATTTATTATGGGTTTTCTGGTTTTTACTCTGATCGGACCAGAAAAAACCGGTCCATGCTGGTCCGGACCGGAATCTAATAGGTCTGGTTTCCAGTTTTTCCGGTTCGGGTTCTGTTCGGTTCTAGACTGGTGTACACCCCTAATATGGAGTATGAAGTATTATTTATTGGAATTACATTAACAATATGTGATACGTAGTAAATAATACAGATTAATAAAGATGTAATCATTTTATTAAATATACTTATAATTCATTTTTTAATAGAAGTATATATGTGTATTTATCATAATTTGAAATAGTATTGTTTATTATTGTTGTTTATATTAATGTTATTATTATTATTTTATTATAGTTATACTAATAATAGATATTTTAATTTATTCGTGACAGATCATTCCGTGGGTATGATGAGGATAAAACCTGAACTCGACCCTAAAATGCTTGTGCCGTCATTTATAAAGCCCAAGCCCGGCCCGTACCCCAAAATGTTAAGCCCAAGCCCGTTATTTTGTGGGCGGCCGGATACTCGAGCTCATGATCGGGTCTATAGTAAAAAGAATAGTAAAATGCCCATTTATAGTGTCATATTAGAAAAAATATATGGAACTCATATTTTGATACTTTATCTATATTTTAATCATATTTAGGGTGATTTATTTTTTTTCTTAGATTTTTTTTTATTTTAAAGTTTCGAACAATAACAACAACCCATTTGAATACCACAGGAGAAGGGTCTAGGAAGAGTGTCATATTAGAAAAAATATATGGAACTCATATTTTGATACTTTATCTATATTTTAATCATATTTAGGGTGATTTATTTTTTTTCTTAGATTTTTTTTTATTTTAAAGTTTCGAACAATAACAACAACCCATTTGAATACCACAGGAGAAGTGTCTGTACGCAGACTTTACCCATATTCAAAAGTATAGTGGTTGTTTTCAAAGAGACCCATGGCTCAACGTCAAAAGTTGCATTGATTGACTAACTGCTACTCATTAATTAAAGATGCACATAGAGTTTAGAAAATCATTTTATTTTATTCCATCATACCCCAAATAAAAAAATAGTGAATTTTTGGCTATCGGAGAAGATGGGAATTAACTTTAATAACATTTTATCAAGGCTGGATCAAACCTTTAAATCCACCAAATTTTTAAATCTATTTCTATACTAATAAACTTACAACAATAATTTATTTAAAAAACTAAATTTAAGTAAAATAAATTATTATATTTAATTAAATTAATCAAAATATATTTTTCTTTTAATTAAAGTAAATAAAATACTAATCCTTCTATCTAACTCTTTTTGTCCACTTTGGTTTTTGCACATTAACCAAGGAGAAGGAATAAAATTGAGTAAATGACTCTAATAACCTTCCACATAAAAACAGACCATATCATATCTTGTGTCTGTTCAGTCGTTTGGCCATTCCTCCACACAACTGCCGCCCTAACCTAATTAACTTTTTGCTCGACCATAGAGTAGCGTCGTAGCCGGCGACATGCTCTCCGACGAGGCTGTACACAAAGTCAAAAAATTAGACGAGAAAGATTTTTCATCTTAATCAAATTAGATTAAGGACATCTCAGATCTTCGGTTATCTTCATCAAATCTAACAAATTCGTCGCCTAAAGGTGGGAGAGAAGACATTGTCGTTGTAGAAGAGCATCTTTCAGCGAGGGATCTTCGTTCCCCAACCCAATGAGTTTGACTTTGAGTTCTTGGTACAATCTCTATTTGTACGGCATGATGGTAGTGCCTTCCATGAGCTCAGGCAATAATGGTCTTGTACTAGACGAGGCAATGAAACCATTGGTAAGAGTTCAAGATCATATCTCTTTTTTGGTGGGATGAGATGAACTAAGAATTCTTTTAATTAGGGGTATATTGGTTTGTAGGGCTGTTCACATTTAGGTCTGGACCGAAAAAACTGACCGAACCGGACCGATAGGTCCAGACCGAACCCGGACCGAATGGATTTCGGGTCGGTCTTCGGTCCAGAAAATTTTGGCATTCGGGTTTCGGTCCGGTCCGGTCCAAACCCGAAATGATTTAGGTCCGGACCGATTGGACCTAATGACCTACTGGACCTAAAAGACCTAAATACTAAAACTCTACTTTTTAAATTTCGTATTACACTTTGATGCTCTATTTTAATAAATATTTTAATTTATTTAATTTAAAGTGTTTTTTATTAAGTAATTTTAAAAAAATCTTTAAAAAAACATTTCATATTTGTTTTTATGGTTCTACATTGAAGTAGTTCATATTGTTTATCCATTTTAAAGCTGTCTATTTTTTTTTATTCATTTTCTATTTGAATGGTACAAAGTAAAAAGTCTAAAATATATTTAATTGATCAAAATAATTAAAAAAAATATAATTTTTTTGGTCCAATCGGTCCGGACCGGTTCGGTCCTAATTATTTCGGTCCGGTCCGGTCCAAACCCGAATGGATTTAGGTCCGGTCTTCGGTCCAAGAATTTACTCATTTCGGTCTTCGGTACGGTCCGGGTCGGTCCGGTTCGGTCCGGTCTTGGACCGATGAACAGCCCTATTGGTTTGTATGGTACGAAATACTCATCAAAATAGATAGTGGACAAATATACTGGACATACCAAAAAAGAATACTAGACAAAAAGAATAAATATGAAAAAAGGGATAAAGCTAGAGAGACGTGATAGGCGGGGATCATCACACACAAAAAAGTGAAGAATAAACCATGTGGTACCCAATTTGTACACCAGGTGATGGTGTAAATTACTTGACCGGTCAAACTATACTAGACCGGGTCTAGAATAGTTTACTTAAGTTGGTAAAGTAAGAAAGGTAAAAACACACAGATTGACCGGTAGGACTTTAGGTGGAACACCTGTAGCCCAATTTATATTATAACAGAGAATGCACGGGTGCTTTTACAAGGGAGTTTCGAGAGAATGAATTCGGATCCCTCTTTCTGAGGTTTACTTGAGTATTTATACTAGGTTAAGGGGGACCGGACCACATGCGCCCACGTGGGGGCATGCTGCTGATGTGGTGCGAGATGACTGTCCCTGAGCTGCCTTGTCATCTTGCGAGGGGGATTACTTCCCTTGTCGCGTTCCGGCTTGGAAATATTCCTCCAACATCTCCACTGAGTCCCGAGCAATGCCAACCACTACAGTCCAAGTCCTTTTGGACTCTTCCTGCCGACACTTTCCAATCATTAAAAACTGCACCCGTTGGTTCTTGAGGGTTGGATCTGCTAACTTCAAAGGATGAATTAGACCCCGGCATAGTTAGACCGGTATACTATTCGAAGTATACCAGTCAACCTTTTGGTCAACCCTTTACCCTTCCATGAACGATTCATCTCTCTTCTAAGTTTGACCTGTTTGACCGGTCAACTTATACGGGTCTGACCTTTGACCGGTCATAGGTGAAATACACCCATCAATAAGCCCTCCACTTCTCGGTTATGCCATTTGTCATAAGCGGGAAGTAAAAAATCTGAAACAGGACTTTTAATTTCAAATTTCAGCTTTTCCCGCCTAAAGATTTTAGAATTTGAAATTCGAAATTTGAATTTGGACACGTGTCGCGCCTCAACCGTCCGTAATGAACCGTTGTCAGCCTGCCCATTCGTCTTCCCATGCACCATCATTGCGCCGCCTGACGCGGCGCGTTCTCGAGCGGCCACGTCGCCCTTTTCCCCTCCTTCCTTGCCTATGTAAAGAGCTCCACCCCATTCATTTCTCTACTTCTTCTCGCGCGTCTCCTAAGTCTCACCGGTCAAGCTCCTCTCTCTTGCCTCCCAGCCCTCCGAGCCATGTAAGCTCCTTTCTCTTCTTTATTAACTCTTCGTTTTCGTTCCCGGTCAATGTCTTCTTCTGATAGTCAGGGTATTTCTTCCTCGGATGCCTACGCATCCGAGGAATCCTCAACCTCCTCTTCTTTGACCGGGTCTTCTCTATCCGGTTTCGAAACCCGGTCGGGCCCCAACATCATCGTCCCTGAACCGCAGCCTGTTAACCAAATGCCCGGTCAGGTCTTTCAGGAGAGGGATGAACCGGTTGACGATGAGCTGGCTCCTTATGACCCTGATAACGAGTCATATGAGGCATGGGTGAACCGGTTGGAAGCGGCCGGTTACTTTCCCCTCCCTACTAGCTACCCCTCAGACATTTACCCCCATGTTTCCAAGATTGCCCAAAACAAGGCCCGTAGGAATCTCCCGGAGAGGTATGTCCTTGAATTCGACCCCAGCTGGCCGAACATTGTCGAGCCTCACCAGGATGATATAATAGGCTTCCATATTACTTCTTTGGAGAGTGGCACCGTCTTCCCCCTCCGTCCCCTCCTTGTCGAGTTGTGTCATTGTTTTAAGATCCTTCCCGGGCAAATTACGCCCAATGCCCATCGTTTCCTCAACGCCTTTGTAAATATCTGCGTTGAACTTAAGATCGGCCCTTCCCTTCGCATGTTTCTCTTCTTGTTTGAAGTCCTTCCCGGTAAGTCGGGATGCGACGGTTATGTCTATTTCAAGGGCCGTAACGGTCGTCAATTTATCTCTGACCTTCCACAAAGCAACCGACAGTGGAAGGAAAAATTTGTTTTTATAAAATTCCCCACCGTTTCTCCTTTGGCTGGCATAAAATGGAATGACCACATCCTGAAGCCTCAATATACCGAGTCGGCCACCGCCCCCGATTTGGAAGAAAGTTTAGAGAAGCTTCTCCGAGGGGACCCGTTCACCGGGCAAATGTTTCACTATGGGGCTTGGATCTAGCGGATCCAATCGGGTGGCGAGGGTACCCCTACGGCTCACGAGGCAGTGGGGCACGGGGTACCCGCCCCGGGCAACACTGCAGAGGCCGGGGGCCCTAGCCACCCAGGTACCTTTCCTTTCCTCCTTCTTCCTCCTTCCGCTATACCGGTCAAAGTTCGAATATTTATATTTTTGCTCGTCTTGCAGAGATGAATTTCAGAGCATTCAACATCCCGATGAAGAAGACCGGTGGCCCTTCCTCTGCTGCCCCCAAAACTGTACCGGTCCAACAGGAACCGGTGGAGATCCATTCTGATGAGGGGTCATTAAGTCTTTTAATGACCCTTTAATTTCTACTATCCCGGGAAGGCCTTAGCTCACCCCCCCGTTCAAGTCTTCCCCGAGAAGGGGGAAACAGGATGCGCCACGGTGGACGATCCCCTTCTATTTCTTTTAATGGGCATCTTTTAGTCCCCACTCAGTTTGACGGTACCGGCTGATTCCCTGATACCGGTCAAACCTCATGGGCCCGTGTAAGTACGGTTCGAACCTTCTTCCAGGTCCAGCCCTCTTGCAGGCATACCCTCTTCCGGGCCCCTCTTCCAGGTTTTAATATTTTTTCTATTATACTGAGCAAGACTGGTGTAGTAACCAGCGTGCCAGGTCCGGGCCTGTGTCTCAGTTGGCTTATCCAAGTGGATTCGATCCACCCGGGAAGCCCTCCTAGGATATGTTCGACTTATCAATTCCGCCGCTACCAAGTAGAGTATTGAACATCATTTTGATTGATAATGTAGTTAAGCATCGCCTAGTATTACAATCATTTGTAGAACTTGCGAAGATGGTGGGAATTCCAAGTTCTTTCTACCGGTACACCATCTAAACTTTCTAACCGGTAGGTTCCTGGGCGAATGATGGCTCTAACCCTGTATGGGCCTTCCCAGTTTTTGCCAGCTTTCCTCCATCGCCTGGTCTACTTGCTTATCTTCTTCGTAGGACTTCATCTCCAACTTGGAAGTATCGCGGCCCAACCTTGTTGTCATGGTACTTCTTCACAACTTGTTGGTATGCACTCATTCTCACCTCTGCCGCCATCCTTCGTTCCTCGACCAAGTTAAGCTCGGCTAGATGGTCCTCTTCATTTTGTCGGGGTTGATAATTTGATTCCTGAAACGTTGGGAATTCGGCTTCGATGGGCAGCCTTGCTTCACACCCATACGTTAGGGAGAATGGAGTTTCTCCATGAGCCCTCCTGGGTGTTACTCGAAATGCCCATATGATGTGCGGGAGCTCTTCTAGCCATTTGTTTCCTGTCCATCCCGTCGAAGCCCGGTGAGGATTTGAATGTTTTCCTCATTCAAATAAATGTCCACCCCATTGACGTTTGAAATCAACGATCCATCCTCATCCTTTTTCAAGTTCGAATAGAAAGCTCGAACAAGAAAAGGTTGATAATTGACCTTCTTGATGTAGAGGAGATCGAGGAAGTTTCCACGTTCAAGGATAACCCGTGCCTCACGTGGAATGGAGTCATGAATGAAGCGGGCTGTGGAGAATCGGGGTGGGAGAATTTCCCGATGCTCAAACTTCTCCGAGAACCTTGTAGCCTCTTCGCGGTCGTTGAACCAAAGAAACGACCCGTCAAGGTATTTGTGCGTTGATGGTGGAGGAGCCGAGGAAGAAGCCACGTTCTTGCCGGTGCGGGATCTTTTTCTTTGACCTCCAATATATAGTGGAAGAGGTGTAGAGATTCGTTGGGATGGTCAAAAGTGGTTTAAATGCTCCTCCAACGTCCTTGCAACGGTCAGATTTTTGAAAATCTGCCGTTGTAAATCGATTAACATGACCTGTAAATCGATTATCAGATGCCTCAGATTCTCCGCTGATGGTCCTGCAGTCTTCAATAGTCGATTGTCATGTTTTGGTAAATCGATTGTTGGAGGTTGCGCCCGAGTTGCCTTAAACTTCTGCAGGCTCAGATAATTGATTATCGATTGTTTACTCCTTCAGCTTCTGTGCTCTAAACTTCTGCAGGGTGTGATAGTCGATTATCACAAGCCTGTAAATCGATTTACACTCAGTCCTGGAACTAGAAATCGATTTACACTCAGTCCCTGACTTTGACACCTACAATGAAAACATTTTGGTACCCGTTTGATCTTTTGGGTCCTTGAGGATTAGTAACACGACTTTTTAAACTAATAAACACACGCACCCATAATCACATACACATGGTACGCAAGCACACACACACACACACATGTACCAACATGCGTGTTTAAGTGTTACCTTGGCCAACTCGTCCTTTTGCGGTTGGCGGGTTCCAGTCTACTCGAACCGAATGTCTATACCTCGGTTTGATTTGTGTGGGTTCCGGAAGTGGTATGTGAATCTTCTTCTTTTCATCATAATAGAAGAAGTAATATGGTTTCTTTTGCGTTGATTCCTGCAGGGATTGGTTAGAGTTCGAATATCCTTTTTGAAAGGATTTCATTC